TGGTGAATCCTTAGGACGGCCGCTTACTTGCTTGCTTCCTCTTGGACTGCTGTTGCACGCCGAGCCAGGACTAGACATGTTTTCAGATTTATAGGCTGTTTTTTAAAAATCAGGATTTTATTACCAGGCTCTCCTCCTCACCCATTTTTCCCAGCTTGGCCAAGGAATTTGTTGGCATGAAACTTTTGGCGGAACCAACTGAAAACACACGTCCAGTGTAGGTGATGTTTTACGTGATGCATTAAGTTCATACTTTAAATTTAAGGAAGTTTTCCATTGGACATTCTTTCAAGTCAACAACAGAATGTGGTGAGGTCGATTTTTGGGGGGCCACACAGTAATGGAAAGCTACAATAATTCGTTTTAATACAGCTTGAACATTTGCTATCCAGGAATATAGTATAGTACATTTTTGGTCTTAGCATCCCTACTGTGCTGGCCACAGATTCTCCCAGTGATTATGATTGGGACATTCTTTGGTAACTGCCATTTTGCTGCTAGTTCATTTTATGGTGATAAAGTCATGAAAAAGTAAACGTGCCAAATCAACTTTTGTCAGAATGCGTGAGCAGATGGCTGCGTTCTCTCCTCCCCAGAATGGATTAAGCAGCAGCAGGGAAAGTGGGAGAGGGGGTGGATGGAGAAGGTTAGAGACTTCAAAGCTTGCAGCAGAACTAAATGAGTCAGGGAGCTTCAGTTGGGAAATAAAGCTAGGACAGTTTTTGTGAAGAGAATTCGTATTTGTTCGAGCCAGAGAGCACTGGTCTTTTGGGAAAAAGACCATTTTCCCGAAAGTGCTCATTCATTTGGCAGAGTTTTTAAATTTAAAAAAATTCCAAAGATAGACCAGCTCACAAATGATAAAGCCTCGGTCTTTCTCCTGGACACCCTCACCTCCTGCCCAAAGTGATTTTGATGCCCAGCCAAGACCCACTTTTGCTGCACTCCTTCTCCCGGGGTAGATGTGCCCGTATGTGGTCATTCTCTGATTTGTTTTAGGATGCAGGAAAGTTAATCTTCTCTAATAAGGTGAGAGCGCTGTGCTTCTAAGGGTATCTGGGATTTCTGTAGAACTTGGCAGTTTTCCGAGCACTTTCTCTTGGCATTATGTCCCTGGAAACTTACAACATTCTCGATGAGACTTTCTCTTTGAAGGCAGGGGTTTGTCATCCCCATTTTTCTGGAGACAGAGCTAAGGTACAAAAAGTGAGTAAATTGTCCAGGTCCCTGTGTGCATCGTGAGCAGTGCTGGTCGGCTGTCTTCAGAGCTCTTCAACGTTTTTATGCGTGCAGGTGCTGCGGGCCTGGAGCAGGCAGGGCTCCTTGCGTACGGAGGCCTCGCTGTCCTTTAGGATAGGGGTCGGTGGCATCTCTGTGGGAGCAGTAGGGAGCACCTCTTTGCCACTGTGGTAAACAGAAAATTTTATTCTCCTTTTTTTTCATGGCTGAAAAAGAAAAATTAATGGTAATTTTGAATATGTGTTTAGAAACTGCCCCTCTCCTGGTTGCAGGAGTGAGCTCTCCCTTGATGAGCCACCCTTCTCCCTTCTTGTTTTCTCGTCCCCGTCTGGCTTGCTGGCTGGCTCGGTTGTTTGGAGGACTGCTAACAAGCCTGGCTTCCCCACTTCATTGGCTAGTTAGTTTCCTGTCTCTGCCCGCTCACTCACAAACGTACGCCGTCAGCCGGAGAGTATAACCACCTAAATCCATGACAGCTTCGAAGAGAAAACAATCTTTAATTTGTCCTACTGACGTTAGGTTAGGAGCCTTATCTTTGAAAGTAAAGTGTAGCTTATCATTGTATAAAACCTCAGGCTTGATGGTAGGAGAAGAGACGATTTCTGGAGGTCTTAGCGATAGGATTGAGCATTGTACGATACGTTGGACATAGCCATCTACAGTGATCTGAGCTTTTAGATCCAGGCAGAGAACTCACCATCCCTCACCTGTGATAGGCGTTTTGGACCTACAGGGGCTTTCGGTTTTTAACGACTCTAGAGGCCAGGGGTACATGCACCTGGGCTGGTATTTGAATGGGGGCACCACTTAGGAGAAGAAAAACGTCTGGAGGGTTCTGGCTATTCTAAGCTGGGCTCAGGAGATTGAATAGATTAGCTATAACTGAAATTTAGAATTTGACATCTGCCTCTGAGTAGGCTTTCCGGTGTATACCTCTCTAATTCCTGGGTTTGCCTCTGGGCCTCTCCATGCCCAAGCTGGCCTTTCGTTCCTGACACCTTAGTACCAGGCTGGCCAGCTCCAGCCCCTGCGCTGGCTCTCTAAACCACAGCTGGTTCTCCCGTGGCCTTGGTCACAGGGCCAGGATACCGAGAGGAGTGCAGGGTGGCGGGGCTGGCCGAAGTTTCAGTCAGTTCTCTATGTTCTAGGCCAATCCTCCAAGTAGAGAGGTCCTTTTATCCTTCGGGAGAGCCCTAAAGAACCCTGCCTCTATATGCAGTGGTTTGGAGCTCTTCCTGCTCATTGTGGGTACATCCTCCTCGCCCCATATGAAGCCTGGATACTTGGAACTGCTAAAATCGGAGATTCAGCTTTTCAACTTTGCTACTTATCTGGCCTCAAGCAGGGAGGTAAACATGGACTTAAATGTCCTTTGAACAAAACCAAAGTGTAAGATGTGCCGCATGACAGAGTGCTAGGGAGGGCCAGACCTTCAGCGCTGGCCTTCAGCAGGTGCCAGACATTCTGTTTCATCTGCCACCCGTGTGCCCAGCAGCTCTGGGAGCACCGCCCTGCCTGAGCAGCGCCGGGCCTTGCACTCATGGAGGCCAACTGACATAGCAGGAGCATGTTGATTCCTTGGTTATGTTGCATTATAACAGTAAGAGTCAGAACATTAATTTGAAACTGTCTTCAACAACTTGCTGTATGCATTTTTTCACACCAGTACATTCTTAAGCATCCTTGTTTATATAGAATAACATAAACTAATCTGTACCTTTATATATATATGTACATATATACATGTATAATCTGTATAGTGTACATGTTAATGATTTATTGATATGTCCCAAATCTTTCATGCAGCCCTCATCCTCCGCATGCCCTCGGTTTGTGGTCGGGTGACTTGAATGTTCCCCGAGGATCCTGCCCACCTCCCGTGTTTGGACGTCTAGGGAAGGAGGGTTTTGGTCGTACCCTCATCCTCATGCACAGAAATGCTCAGGGTCCCCATGTGCCTGTTGTTCAGCCCTCTCTTGTCTCTCATTCCCTTTCTGAGCATGTGGTCCCTCCCTGCCCTGTAACTTCTCTGCCCCTCCCCCAGCTGTGGGACAGCTGCCTTCCTACTGAAGTGTAAAGCAGTACTAACATCATTACTGCATGTGCGCTAAAAACCCAAGTCTTCTGTTCCCTTGGGACAGAACATTGCATGTGGGGTGGGATAATCAAGTTTCAGTGACCCATGTCAGTTACACAACAAAGCCAGATCCCATAGCAAAATTCCACAAAATGGAAATCAAACTTAAATTTCTTTATTAGCATTGTGTAAATAAATCTGGATGTGTTTAACTTTGTACTGGTAATTTTCTGTATATTTGCAATATTTGGGTTAGAAATAAAACAGACTGGACTTTGTTACCTGACCTATCAAAATGACTAGCTACATTTTGTTGCCATGATAGATTTCCCAGTGTTTCTAGCTTCAGAAATCAAACTCCAGCAACCAGAGAATAAGCCAGGTAAAGAGCCAGGACTGCCTTGGTAGCATGAGAAGTATTAGGTAAGTTGTGGGGGAAAACTTAGTTTTTCTTGTTCTTTACGCCCCTAAAGGTCTACCTCCCATGGGTATTTGTAGCACCAGCTTCCCCGTTCTTACCCCACACGCCCTCTCAGGGTGTGAGTGCTACCCACTTCCTCTGGACACAGCAGCATAGAGTGATTGTCCCGAATTAGCTGTTCCTCAGGCAGGTTTGACAAGGGACAACACTGAAAGCTTAAGTTCAGTACCTTCCCAGCTGCCTCTCTTAGATTTCTCTTGCGGTTCTTGCTCATAGTCCTGCCTGGTCCATCTCATCGAAGGACCTTTCAAAGAGTTGCGGCTTTCCTTTCTCCCCAAATATTTCTTTTAGGAGAGGTTCCCGTCCTCCCTTGAGCCTTGAGCCAAGCCTTGAAGACTGCTTCTCAGTCTGCCATCCTGGGGGACATTTCCAATGAATACTTACTCTGACATCATGATCTGAAGATGACAAGGCAGAAGACCTTGCTCTGAAGGAGCCGGCTCCTTCAGAGGAGCTGTCCCTGGCTCCGGCTATCTGGCCAAGGAGTTCCTCCTCCAGGAGATCGTGTATGGTAGTTTTATTTTCAGGAAGTCTAGCCAACCTAGTGTCCAAAGACTGACTGCACCAGAATCACTAGGTTGCTTGTTCAAATGCAGATTCCTGGACCCCACCCAGACCCATTAAATTAGACTTTGTAATGGACAGACCCTAGGAGTCTGCATTTTTAACTTGATTCTTTTACACCTTTATTGCAACAACGGGCTCAGAATGAAAGTCTAGGCCAATTTCATACCACCTGGTGTGGGGACTCGGTGCTTACAAGGGCTTTGGCTGGGTCAGGCAAGAGAAATCAGGCAGAGGCCTTCACACTAGTTCCGATGGGGCGCAAGTGCGGCCTCAGTGGTCAAGCTCCGTAGCGCCTTCCTCTGCCATCCCAGCTCCTGATAAATAGGTTCCTGGGCCGGAAGTGTGTTTGCAGGCTGTCCTGGCCCTCAGCCCCGGTACAAGCTGCAAAGAGGAGATTTCACACCCCATAGGAGCACAGGCGCCTGGGATCCTATCGACTCGGCCTCCAAATTGAGGGCTAAAGGGGAAAAATGAGTGTAAAGAGCCCATTCATTCAACCACACTCATCTTTTTTTTTCCATAAAAGAAAAGGGTGGTGGGAAGGAGGAAGCGGGTATGTGGGAACTCTGTACTTTCCATTCAACTTTACTGGGAACCTAAAACTGCTCTAAAAAGTAACGTTTTTACACACACACACACACACACACACACACACGGGAGGGGATGCTGGTTTCTGGAGCTACTGAAGTGAGGATATGATAGGAAACCATTTAGATGCAGGGTACAGAACATGAGGAATGATGGTTTGGTGAGCCGAGACATCATGCAGGACCTTTAGTATGTAACTAACACGGTGGTCTGGCCACTTCCTTCCACTTAATCATTTTCTCCTCAACACAGTCATGGCATCATCATCCCTTGTGTCAGAGCCCAGGGCCCTGGGGTTCAGAGTTCGTGATTTGCCGAAGGTCACCTAGCTCATGAGTGAGTGGCACAGCCAGAAGTCACACACACGTCCTCCGGCCTCCTGCCCCAGGCCGCCTCTCACTTTGCTGGTGCTTTATCTCAGAGGGCCACATGCCGGCCTGACCTAAAAATAGCTCACATTTATGGAGCACTTCGTCGGCTACATTCTGCTAAGCACTTTACACAGATTACCTCTCATAATCCTCGCGACAACCCTATGGTCATTATCCTCTCTGTTTTACAGGTGGGGAAACAGACCCGAGAGAGATGTGATATGTGGCAAGTCACACAGGCTGGTGGGTGATGGAGCCAAATGGGAGGCCAGGTAGTCTGGCTCCGGAGTGCGGACTCCGCCTTCCACTGCCACTAGGGGGTTAGACGGAGGGGATGGGGACAGACCCCCGAAAAGGGCGAGTTGGCAAGACCTTACAGCTCACTGACTGTGGAGCAGAGAGAGAGAAGGAGCCCTTAAAGGTGTGCCTGTGAATCAGCTAAGCCTGCTGAGCCAGGGCCCCATTGTGTGGTCTGTGCGTGCAGTCAGGGGAGCTGTTAGAAGCTCAGGCCCTCCCCTCCCTCCGCAGTGCTGTACGAGGGCTGCCCCCTCAGTCCTCCTGCGGCTATTCTGGGCTGCTGTCTGATGTCCCTCTCTTCCCCAGTCCCTGCTTCAGCCCTTCTGCTGAGAGTAGCCGGGTGGGAGAAGGCCAGGCCAGTTACATAAGCCTGTGGCTGGGACCCTGGGAGACCGGGCTGGAGAGCAGGTGCTTAGCCCCTCCCTCACCACCAACAGTGAAAATCTCCCGCTGGAGCCCAGCCTTGGGGTGGCCCAGCATGGAAGCAGCCACAGCTCTGGAGGCGGCCTCGGGATCCATACTGAAGGTGAAAGAAATGAGCCCAGCCGATGCTGAAGGACCCCCGGCTTTATCTCAACAAGAGTCCGGCTGCCCCATTCCCCAGCTCCTGTCCCTTACAGACGGTGACCTGGGGGGTTGGGAAGGGCGAGACGGCTGGGATGGTAGGAGTTGGGAGGTCTCCCTAACACCCGGCTGCACCTCCTTAGCTTTGTGCAGAGGTGAGCGACTTCATGGGTGGTACCTGGGACGGAGGAGCATTAGTTGGAGCCCCCACCCCTTTCCTTGGTGGATTCTTATTTGCTGCTCAAGTGTCTCTGCTAGGTTTGTGCTTTTTAGCTGAGAAGTCAGTGAATGGTGTTTGTGGCACTTCACAGTGACTAAAAATGATCTGTTTATATTTGTACCTGTATAAAATGTCTGTCCCGGGGACCGAGGACCAGATAGACTAATACCAGCTAGGAAGGGAATGAGGGGTGCGAAGGTGGCCGTCTGCATTAGAAGGGGGAGATGAAAAGCTTCTAGCAACCAAGAGGCTGGGTGGTGAACAAACAGTGGATGACACTCTGCCTCTCCCTGGGCAGTGCTGGGGGTCCAGGACCTACCCTAACACTCCAGCTGGCTCCCAGGGAAAACCCCAGCCTCTCAGGTCCCGAGCCCCATGGAAGAAGGAGGACCATTGGCCTCCCTTCCACAGTGGTGTCTGTGGGCCTCTAAGCAAAGAGGCACTTTTGAGCCAGGAGGTGGTGGGTGGCCCTGCCAGGCCCGGGTGTCCCTGCTGGCGGCCCAGCCGCCCACTCCGCAGCTGCCCCTGGCTGAAGCCTCTGCAGCTAACAGCTCTGCGAGCTCTGTGATGTTCACTTGGGCTGTCGCCACTGTGCCTGGCTCGGCTGGCTAGAGATGGAAGGCAGGAGCCAGGCTTTTTCCTTCTCCTGTGCGGTAACTGGGAGGAGGGACCACAGGCACCTCGCACATTTAAGACGGTTACCTGCACAAAGTCTGTGCTTTAGGCCCCTTGACATCTTGAGTGCAGGGGATGCAAAGACCGCAAGCAAGCAGCTCATGGAACCCCAGAGTAGGGAGAGGTAGGAGAAGACGTGATCTAGACTCTGCCCAGTGCCCCCTCCGGCAGCTCTGTGCCCTTGGACAAGCCAACCAACTGCTCAGTTTCAATTTCCTCCCTGTAAAATGGTAAGGATACCTGTCTAGCAGGGCGGTTGAAAGAATTGTTGAGATGATCCAAAGTGCCTTGGAAGAGGTCAAACTAAGATGCGAATAGATAATAAGATATTTCCAAGGCAGGAGTGAAGACTGAGTCTACCTGCAAATGGGGCTGGGTAGGGAAAGTTGGCTGCCTCTTCTCATCCTCCTGGGAGACGCTGAGTTTTCGGGAGCTGTTTGAATGTCACAGGCAGAGAGCCGGTTGAATTTGCTCCATTGAAAAGGAGCTTGGGGTAACAGAAGTTATTGTGAGCACATTAGGCTGGGATGGTCTTGAGGCAGAAAACCAGTTCCTTCCCCAAAAGGTCCAGGGAATAAGCCACAGAGTGAGAATGAGAGCCGGGACTGCTGACTCCCGACTTGGCTGATCTCCCTAAGACCCTGGGGGAGGGCATCCAACTCACCCACGCTCCTCCCTCTGGCTGTGAGTGGCTGCTGTGGGCCCTGGGCTCCTGACAGCCCCTGGCCGGCCGCCACAGTGCAGCCTCAAGAGCCCCCGTCTCAGGACCACCAGCGCCAGCAGCTCGATTCATTAGCCTTCCAGAGGTCAGTGATAGTAAGCACTGCTTGTGATACTTCGCAAAGCATGTTCGATTCTGTTATCTGCTTAGAGAAGATAGGAGTTCAAATCCTAGCTCTGTCCTGTAACCCTAGGCAAGTCGGTGCCCTTCTCTGGGCTTCCATTTTCTCATTTGTAAATTGAAGGATAACCTTTTGATGGCTATGGACCCCTAGGAAAATCTGATGATGTCTGTGGAATCTTATTCCAGGAAAAATACTCGAACAAGTTCAGGGAGCTCACAGAATCCCTGAAGCCCATTCAAAGGTCCTTCAGGGTGCCATGGACCTGGCCTAGATGGTCCCTAAGTCCCTGTGAGCTCCAAGAACTTTTTCTTCCTCTTAATGCCTCCTCTACCTGATGGGGAGCACCACGGGACCCAGAGGGGCCCCTCAGTGAGCGTGTGTGTGCATGGGAAACGGAGTAGGCACCAGAGGCGGAAATTCACCTGCAACATCAAAATAACCTGCAACTGGCCAACACTGAGCTTTTAGTCAAGAAAGCCTGCTCTGTGGCTAAATAAGCAGAAGTAGGTGGCCGGCACTGGGAAACAATTTCAGTGTATCCTCAGCACTACGCGGAGGCATTGGGTCCTGGAGGCAGCATCAGTGGGAGGCTGGCGGACAGGCTGCACCCCTGCCGTGAAGAAGAGGAGACTCTGAGACCCAGAGGAAGGGTCCATCTGCTGATTTCAGAGTAACTGCATCTCCTTTCAGTCCAAACTATTCTGTGTCTTCCAGGCTTGGGAAGCTGGAGCCCGTGCCTGGGAGCAACCTTCCTTCCTTTTTTCCTTCTTCCCTCCCTCCTCCTTTCCTAACCTCTTTCTTCCTTCTACAAATATTTCTTTTATGCCTATTATGTGCCAGGCACTGCTACAGAAATAAAATAGGCAAAAATAACTCCCCTTGTGGAGGTTCCATTCTAGTGTAAGGAGATAGACAATAAATAAACAAACAAGATATGTAATATGTCAGAAATGTGCTGAAAAAATGAAGCAGAGGAGGACAGAAAGTGCTGGGTGTGGGAAATATGTTTGCTATTTTAAACAGGATATTCAGTGACAGTCTCATTAATAAGGTGCTATTTAAGCAGCAACTTAAAGGAGATGAGAGAACAATGCATGCAGATATTTGAGGTGAATGTTTCCCATGCAGAGAGAACAGTCAGTGCAAAGGCCCTGAGGCAGGAGTGTGCCCTATGGATCGGGGCCACTGTGCCTGTAGCAGCACAAGGGAGATAATGGTAGGTTTGGGGGCAGAGAGCTAGCAGTACCCTTGTGAAGACTGGCTCAACTCCGAGACTGATGGGCAGCCTGGGCAGGGTTTTAAGTGAGAACCAACATGATCAGATATAGGTTTTAAGGCTTTTTCTGACTCCCGAGTTAAGAATAAGCTATAGGCAGGCCTGAAACACTAGCAAGGTCATCAACTGAGGATGAGGATGAGGGAGAAGGTATGGGGGTTTTAGAAGAGGAAGGTGTCCAGTTGTCACCCAGGAGAATAAGGAGGCTGGGTGGACCTAGGAAGTCTGGAAGAATTGCCAGGGGGCCATTGGGGAGTTAGTGGCCATCAGCCTACAGTCAGCCTCGCTTGTATTTTTCCCCAGTGTGCAGATGTGGGCACTGAGTGGCTGGAAAGCATTTCACTGGGGTTGGCCATGGCTAGGAGAGCACAGTGCAGTACCAGAGGATTAAGGGATCTGAGCGGGTACACAAGGGAGTGGGTGTAATGACCGGACTGCAAGTTGGGTGGGAGAGAGAGTGGTAACCGAGAGGACGACAGGGAGTGCAGGGGTGGAAAGGCACGGAGTGGAGATCTCAGTGGTGCGCAGGGTCGCTGGTGCTGGAGAGCAGAGCTCTAGGGGCAGAGAGCGTGCTTGTCAGGGAATGCCCGTCCATGTAACAAATAGGCCTCAGAACCGAAGGCTCAAAAACAATAGATGTTCATTTCTATTAAAAAGTTTCTCTATTTAGTTCTATTAAAAATAGTTCTGCATGCAATAATTCCAGGCCCCAGGCCTCTCCCCTCTTGTGGCTCTGCCACAAATCTCAGGCAAGTGTTTGCCTGATTCTATGTCCTTCCGTTTTTTTCTGACCTTAGTTTCACAGTCTTCATGAAGCTGACACTCCTGTCTTTCACAAGTGCTTCGGAGGTCACCTTTCCTATGGTGCTCCTCCAGACAAGTTTCTTTTCTTTTTTTTTTTTTTTAAGATCATTTGTTTTATTTATTTATTTTAAAAGATTTTATTTATTTATTTGACAGAGAGATGGAGGGCACAAGTAGGCAGAGTGGAAGGCAGAGGGAGAGGGAGAAGCAGACTCCCCACTGAGCAGGGAGCCCAACGCGGGCCTCGATCCAGGACCCTAAGATCATGACCTGAGCTGAAGGCAGATGCTTAACTGACTGAGCCACCCAAGTGCCCCAAGATCATTTATTTTTGCGAGAGAGAGAGAGAGAGAGAGCACACAAGCAGGGAGAGGGGCAGAGGGAGACGCAGGCTCTCCACTGAGCAGGGAGCCCAATGCAGGGCTCGATTAGGACCTGAGCCGAAGGCAGACGTTTAATGACTGAGCCACCCAGGTGCCCTCCAGACAAGTTTCTGATAAGGCCAAGGCCACATACTGTTTCAAAGCCATAGCTTGCCTTGTGCATTTGCTCTTTTTGGGTAGCCATTCACTCACACAGGCACATGCATGCACACACACATGCTCACAGTCTCGCACACTTGCACACACACTCTATCTCACACATAGGTGCATGCGCACACACACACACCCTTTGTTCTTTCAATGTGTCTCTTATTCCTTCACACTCCAGGCCATAAGTAATCATATCAACGTGAACTACACAGCCCTTAAGAAAGTGCTGGAAGAAAGTCTTTAACGGCATGAAGGGAAATTTTGAGAGAATATGAACACTTATTTCCCATGAACGTCGAATAAGGAAATGGGCATAAACTTCAGAATGAAATTAGGGTAGAATTAAGAGGAATTTTCTAATCCAGAGGAGTCAAGATCTTTGGACTTTAAGTAGTAGTCTCCTTCTCTGCTAATTTTCGAGGAAGAATTAGACAGCATTCTGTCTGAGAGAAAGGCCATGCTGAGAGCAGCACAGCTCAGAAGCCAATGTCTCTCAAAGGACTTTTCTCAAAATGCCTTTTCCCCAAGACTCTATGATGGAAGAAAACCACACTCAAAGTCTCAAACTGGTCTCAGGAAACCCAGGCTGTGCCGTAGGGCTCTCATCTTTGGTTCACATCCGTCCTGGGCATCTGAGGAGCAGAAAGACCTTGGGCGTCAGGGAAAAGCCACGTTCCCCCAAGGTCGGTACAATCAAGACCTCTCTTGATCGCGGATGTGTGAAAAGAGATGCCCCAAATGAGCCCTCCGATTAACATTCTTAGCAAAGGGGCAGACTGCTCGCTTGTTCAGGCACACGAGAGGGCCTGGGTGGAGCTGGAAAAGAGCATTCTGCTGCCCGGGTACCTGCAGCCGCCAAATACTCCCCCTGCCACCTCCCGCACTCTGTCAGCTGCTTTGGCCTCAAGCCCACCCTCTTTCTCCCCCTGGGGGCTGGGAGCCTGCTGGCAGCCGAATCCTCACCTACTAATCCTCAGACTCACAACATTCTACTAAGTTTGTTCCCTGTCAGTTCATCATCTTGTCAGGGAAGCCCGCTTATCAGCAAAGAACTGGCAGGGGAGCCCCCCCCCCCCAGGGAGGAAGAGACTGCCGCCCCAGCTGTCAGCCCTTCTCCTCTGTCTCTCTGCCCGCGCTGGGGTCCCCTGTGCATCTCAGGGCCGTTCTGCTCATCGTCCTTCTAGGCCACCATCTTACTTTACGTTCCACATAAACCTATTTCTTTGATCGTTCTCTTCCGTTCAGGTGCAACAATGCTAACATCTTCCAAGGTAGTTGTCTAAGAAGCACAAGAAGCACCAGTGGGCACAAATTAATACGTCAGCCTGCACCTATCTCTAGAAAAGCCCATTTCCCACCTGAGGTCTGAGCAGGGCTCGGACAGCACATCTTCCAGGCGTGACAACCGGGCTCCTTTCCTCACCCCAACCTGTTCAGTTCTTGAGGGTATCCCTCTGCCTTCCCTTCTTTGCCTCCTCCTCCTGAGGGCGAGATCACCGCCAGGGCCCTGACTGGTGCCCAGGCCCCAGTGGCCAGGGGAGGGCCCGGAAGCGGGCAGATACTCGGAGAACTGGTCCTGCAGGCATACTCTTCCAGATGGGGAGGCAGCCTAACTTCACAAAAGTGTTTCTCCCTCCGAGGCCTTTCCCCCCTGTCTCCTTGCTCCGGCGGCTCATCCAGGTCCTTCTGTGTCAAGCAGGCAGAGTAGGAGACAGCAAAGCTGGCTTCTCCCCAGCGAGCATGAAGGGCTATTTCCCCACCCAACAGTCTGGAACCAAGCCCAACAAGATGAGGTTTTGACCCCCCTTTTCAATTGCCGCCCTCTTTTTCCAGAAAACCCTTAAGTCATATCCGCTTGTTCTCAACTCCTTCGTTGCTCGCCAAGATGGCCACAGGAGGGAACACATCACACAAACACTTCTTCTGTTTTTCATGCCCCACCCCCCTCCAAACCGCCAAAGTTGAACAGAGGGCAAGCAGAGCAGTGTCTTTCAGCTGCCAGAGCTCGGTCGCTGTGGTGTTCTTCCGGAGGCGACCGGCCCTGAGCCGCACAGGCAGGACAGTGGCTCAGAGCACTGAGGCCCTGCGTCATTTAGTTCCTGCTTTTGCCAGGGGCCAGGGTGAGGTGCAGTCCAAGACTGTACCACCCAGGGGGAAATGTAAGCCTTGCAGCGAGAAAGGAAGCTAGATCAATAACATGGACAGCGTGCGCTGAGTGTCCGTGTTTATATTCACTTACAGGGGCCAAAAGTGATCTCGAGACGGTGATGGGGGCAGACTGCGGGAGGGAAGGTCCTGGTCTCTAAACAGTGGGCTACAAACGGAGGTGCAGGAAGAACATAGTGGAAAGTCTATTTACTTTATTTTAAAGTTCACCGCGCAGAAGTTTGCAGTGTATAACGTACATATTTAAACAGTCCAACTTTTAAGTAAACACACATACGCTGCGGTAGAATGCTCAGGAATGTATTTGCCGGGAAATGTTATCAGAAAGTTTGGAAACCTCTGTCAAACCATTCCGCTGTTTGCCACAGTTGTGAACTGGGTGAGGTTTACAACTGCTCGGATGAATTGTGGGAAGAGGCCGGGGAGTTGGTGGGACCTGAAGTGCTCTCGCAATTCCACTTAAGACGACAGCAGCAGGGGACCATCTCTGCCCAAGGAGAGGCCAGAGCCCCAGAAAGCTGGAAAATGGTGTCACCTCAGCCAGGCTCCCAAGGGAAGCCGGGTGGGATGCTTGCACTTTCTCAGCCAAGGCAGCCTGAGGCTCCCTGAGAGGAGAGAGGTCACAGCTGGGTGGCCTCCATACCTTACACTTACACTCCATACCTTACACTTTCCTGAGCATCTCCTGCCTCCATCCTGGAAGTCAAGGGACAGAGACTAACCCCTCTTCTCACTGGACACGCCTGGGAGATCACGGAGCAGCGAGCAGCAGGCCTAGTCTTTCCCAGAGTCTGTCCATACAAAGCGATGGCCCATGAACTGGAAGAGCACGTCGCAGGCGCCCGAGCGGGGCAGCGTGCAGAAGAAGGGACCCAGGTGCCAGCTCCCCGAGCAGTGACGTCAGGGCTGCCCTAGTGGTCCAGTGTCACTCTGCCTGCAGAGTGGAAAGCTTTCTCTTCAACTCTGGCATCAAGCCGGGAAGCAGGGCTGACACTTGGAGGTCAAGACTAACACTGAAAGCGGCTTTGATAAAAGCGTTGTTGAGGACAAATGTAGGGAAGGGGAAGACTGGTCTAGCACAGGCTAGACCAGTCTGTGCACAAACAGAAAAAAGAAATCTCAGTTGATGAAAAGTCAGTAGTTGAGAGTTACCCATTAAAAGAAGTGAGTGTTGGGACGCCTGGGTGGCTCAGTTGGTTAAACCTCTACCTTCAGCTCGGGTCGTGATCCCGGGGTCCTGGGATCGAGTCCCACATTGGGCTCCTTGCTCAGCGAGGAGCCTGCTTCTCCCTCTGCCTGCCGCTCCCGCTGCTTGTGCTCTCTCTCTCTCTCTCTCTCTTTAATAAATAAATAAAATCTTTAAAAAAAAATAAAAGAAGTAAGCGTCAGGCTCACACTCCAGTGGTTTCTGCCAAGACTTGAATGCTCTCGAGGGGATCTTTCAGCCAATCACTCTGCCCTAAATCCCAGCGAGACAATGGGAGCAAGCTTCCCATTCCCTGGGAGAGGACGGATTTGCTGAGCACGTGGGTCATCTGCCCATGGGGCACAGGCAGATGGTGTCCACTTCCTCTGAGCTCTGCCCCTCCCATCCTAGGAGGTTCACCACCCACTGTTTTCTTTCCTTCCATCACTCAGAGCACCCCAAGATCTGGCTACCTCAGACCTTGAGGCAGACCTATATCCAGAAGGTCGGAGACACTGTGAACGTACTAATCCCATTCCAGGTGATCATGCTGGTCCCATGCTGGGTCCATGTTGGGTTCATGCTGGGACCAGGCCAGGGTTTTGATTTGGAAACAGATACTAAGAGTCTTGCTGGCACTGGGGCAGTCGTCATGGCCTGAAATGGAGGGGGCCATGTCACCAGAAGCCTGAGGCAGAATGACCCTTCCATCTGCACTCCTGAGGTAGGGTTTGGGTTGGGCATGCCCCATGTGACGAACTGAGGCGAACCTATGTCCTTCAGTCAGCAGAGGTCTGGGAACTTTCGGTTCAGAGGGCTCTGGGGAGTTTAGGCAGCTATGGTTAGCCCCAGCTGCCCCAGGTGACCTAAACTCTCAGAGGGTGGGAAACTCAAAGCCAACCCCTTTGTTCCTCCCATGATCCTTAGGCTGTTGATGAAAGAGGCGAGTCCCCTGGGACAGTCCACCAATTTCTAACTCAAAGCATTTGCAGTTCAAGTCAGGTCACCATGAGGACCTGGGGTGGCTCTGACCCCCCATTGCAGCAGGGAGGGTCACGAGGCCTCTTGGGGTTGCTCACAGCTTTTTCCCATTTCTTAGGGCAAACCCAAACCTCGAGCCACCTGGACACATGATGGCTGTGTCTTGGATGCCAGCCGTGTGAGTGTGCGGAATGGGGAGCAGGACTCCATCCTCTTTTTTTTTTTTTTAAATTTTGGACTCCATCCTCTTCAACCGAGAAGCCCAACGTGCGACTCGGGTCGCTACCAGCTCAGTGTGCAACTGGGAGAGCTGGAGACCACTGCCACCACTGACATCCTGGTGATCGGTACAGTGCGGGGAGTGGGAGAGTGGTGGTCCTCAGGGGCTCCTTCTCCAGGCTAAAGAGGGGCCATCACAGAGAGCTGGGGAAGCCGGGGTGACTCCCCATGGCGAGGGTCACAGTGGTGGAGGAGGGGAGGCATAGCTGAGCAGAGAAGGGGAAGGGCACTCCCGAAGTGAACCCCAGGCATATGTGGGAGTTGTACCATGCCTGCTGCCATGCTTGTCTCTTTCAGAGAGGCCAGGCCCTCCTCAGACTATCAAGTTGGTGGATGTTTGGGGCTCCAGTGCTACTCTGGAGTGGACACCTCTCCAAGACACGGGCAACACAGCACTCCTGGGATACACCGTGCACCGTGCTGACACAAAATCTGGGGTGAGGCCCAGCTGGGAGGGAGTGTGGAGAGAGAGGAATAATGCATTCTGGAATGGGGCTCTGTAGCTCCATGCGGTGGGCTGAGGTGGAGTGAGTTCACAAAACAGGGGTCTCATTCACGGCATCTTCTTGGGACCCCAAAGCTGTGGTTCCCAGTGCTGGAGCGTTATCAAGGCACCAGCTTCACGGTCTCCAAGCTTATCATGGGCAACTCCTATGCCTTTCGAGTCTTTGCTGAGAACCAGCGTGGGCTCAGTGAGACCGCCCCCATCACTGCTGACCTTGCGCACATCCAGAAAGCAGGTGGGGCCTGGGGCCTGGGAGCTAGGAAGGGTTGAGGATGAAGAGTTGAAGAGGGGTGAGGATCTCAGGCACTACAGCGTGGCCCTTCTTGGTCCCCTCAGAGACTGCTTGCAAGACCGAGGGGTTTGCGCAGCGAGAATTCTCTGAAGCCCCAAAGTTCACCCAGGCTTTGGCAGACCGCACGACGGTCAGCGCCTATGACACGCAGCTCTTCTGCTGTGTCTGCGCCTCTCCCAAGGTGAGCGGGAGTCCCACAGGCTGGCCGGGCCGCGTTGCTCCCTGCTCCTGCCCTAACCTCCGCTGTGGGGAAGAGCATTCTAACCGCATCATTGTTCCATCCCCACCACCTGCCCCTTCCGCAGCCCGTCAGGCAGGTTATGAACAGTCAGGGCCCTTAGAGTCCAAGACAGCCTGATGTGGATGAGGCTTCCAGTTTCCTTTCTTTGTGTCTGTTCCTCGTAGATGAAGATGTCACTTACTGATCAGCTGGCAGCTGGGCGTGAGCTTCAAGTTGTCCCTCTGGCAGAGGTGATGGGGTCCCCTGGTTTCTCCTCCGTCACCCACTATGCCTCACCTGCTCAGGGCCATCTGCATGCCAGCTGTCTAGAGTTGAGGCCACGACCCTTAGCAAGGCCCTTTCCAGTCTAGTCACTGTACCTCTGTACCCTATACTGCATAAAACGTCACTACAACCTTACCAAGTACCTTTTGCATAGAAGCCCTGGGCCAGACTACATGGAGAGAACATCTCAGAAAGAGAATGTCAACAAGCCCCGTCTAGATACTTTCTAAGCAGAGGGAACAACAGTGGGAATAGAATATGAATGATTCAACAATGTATATACAAAAAAGAGGAGATCCTGAGGCCCGGTACTTAGGGATCCATGAGGGACCTGCTTGCACAGGATGGAACAGAAGGTCCCAGCTTTTTTCTAGTCAGGAATACTTGATGAACAGGCAAGGTTTCAGGTGCTCTTTTAAACCAACAGAAGGAGCTTAAGGCTTTTGAGGGTACTGGAAAGGGAACCCCTCCCCAAATGTAAGGAATGGGGAGCTTTCCAGAAGACCATTATCTCTTCTAGATTCCGTACCACCTGTTCTTCAGGCACCCTACTCCTCCCCCTTTTCTGGCCGGTGTGTCCCCAAGCCTTGTAGGCGAGGAGTCCCAGGGATTGAGCACAAAAAGAACAATTGGTTCTCACCACTCCTGTGCCGTTCCCTCGTCTTTATCTTGCAGCCAAAGATCATCTGGCTGAAGAACAAGATGGATATCCAAGGCAACCCCAAGTACAGAGCTCTCAGTCACCTGGGAATCTGCTCTTTAGAAATCCGCAAGCCTGGTCCCTTTGACGGGGGCATCTACACCAGCAAGGCGGTTAACCCCCTGGGGGAGGTGTCTGTGGACTGCCGGGTGGATGTGAAAGGTAAGGGCAGAACTCATCCCCTCTCTCCACAGCTGGAAAATTCGGGGACGGAGCCACAGCCTGCAGGGAGCAGGGCTTGGCTGGCTCCCCCTGCAGGTGCTCTTGGCACTGTCATCATCAGGATGGATTCGAGGAGCCGTTTTTATTATCCAATATCATATTTCTCTCCAACATAATTCTGTAATACAGAATGGCTAGTTCCATTCTGCAAAGGAGAAACCTGAAGCACAGGGTGGTGATCGGTTTACCCCAAGATTCCCAGCACTGCTTAAGTGAGGAGTCAGCACTGGGGTGGAAAGAGCCCAAGCCTCCTGGCCTTCACTCAGATCGTTTGTCTTGCAACTCTATAGTCTTTGACTCAGTCCAGGAAAGCTGCAGCTGTCTGTTAGGCTTTTAAACAAACCAGAGGACTTGCCCCTCCGGTTTGTTAAAAGGCTAAGCACATCCTCTCTACCTCTTTTAAAGTATTCATTCATCCATCCATTCCTGTCGCCTTGTTCTGACGTCCGTCATTGCATTTAATGTATTGTTATATAAATGCCTATTTACTGATGTTTCTCCATTAAACCAAGAGCACTGTGAGGGCGGGGACAGTCTGACTCGTTTTTGTCGCCCCCCCCCATCCCCGCCAGTGTGGAGCCCAGTTTCTGACACACAGTGGGCACTCTCTAAGTGTGCACAGCATGAATCAGGAATGAACGGGCCATTACATGCCCTATTATTCCCCCTGAGGAGACTCCTGATTAGCACCATGGACTCTGCAGAAACCTGAGAAGTATATCCCTTCCCAGTGCTCCTCCACAAGAACATTTCCCAGAGATTTTTGAGATGTTAACTCTGAGAAATGTCTGAATTCTTGCAGCTACTCATTGAGGCTCCCCGAGAGGATGAGGGCAACTCTGACAAAGGTAAGGAAAGAGAGACTGGGGTTCTGAATGGAGTAGGTCATGTTTATGGCTAGTGTTGAGTCTGGGACAGATATGTATTCCTGAGTCTTTCAACCATGCAGTCATTGGTGACTACTTTCCTTTTAACCACTTTTTTTGGTAAGCTGCTATCATCTCCGTGGAAGGAATTTACTATAGATGGTACTACTTTCGTCACATCCTCTATCTGTACTCAAGTTGATGACGGGTATGAAACCTAATGGTCCTCTGAAAAGGAATAACATCTACCTGACAATAAGCGGGTTCTGTGGGAGGGAGGTGGGCAGGTGCTACAAGAAAATGCATCAGGGGAACCACCAGGAGTGGGGGATGGAAAAGAGACAGGAAGTTGCTGCTGTCCACTGTTTCTACCTCAGAATCATGAGCATGGTGAGAAGCAGATCAGTTTGCTTCTCTTTTACTTTGAAGTTTATGAATTCCTTCCCTTCTGAGAGAAGAAACCACCATTACCTTCGTGTCAATAATAATTAAACATGTGGGTATGTGGTCCCAAGCAGCACATTACTGGCAAAGAGCAACTCAGATCATCGTTTAAAATGGGATAGCTCCTTCAGGTTCTAAATCACACACAGCGGAAATGCTGTGTGCGAACTGATGAGTGGGGCGAGAAAGCAGCTCGTGGGAGAATTAAGGAGAACTGGTTCCCAATGTCTCCTTGGACTTGCAGTTCCTGGCTGATAAAAATTGAGGATGAATACCATCTGAGAAGCCATTTAGTTGAGTCCATCATTGATAGAGAGCAAATAAAAACCCTCAGGGATGCATTAAAAGCACAGACTTCTCAGGAGAGCTCTCTCTGCCAGTTGGCTTGCAAAGACAGTTCTCTGGCCACCCCTCAGTTCCCTCTCTGGGTTAATGTTAATGTTACGTTGGGGTTAGCCTTGTCAGCGGGACTTGCTCTGCTACCTCTCTCTCAGCAAGCACACAGAAACAAAGCAGGGTAACTAGAGAAGTGACAGCACAGGACCCAGGGAGCATGAAGCGGATTGCCTCAGCATCCTGGATGTACGCTGGGTGTTTGCTGTTACAGCCACAACATACCGTTTCTTTTCTGTGCCTCCAGAAAGCCTGACTGGGGCAAGACTGTGTTCTTAAGGAGCTCCGGCACAGCGTCTGGTTTGGGCTAATCTAAATAAATGTGTGGATCCTCAGTGGCTAAGTGTCCGTCTGTTTGAGCCTTTCTCTATGGGAAAAAACATTTAGAACACTGGACTCCTTTAGCCAGACTGTATGGAATCTGCAGACCCTCAGACTCATCTTTCTCCTCATATCCACATTCTCTTCCGCAGAGGTTTCTAACACTGTCCTTTTGTCTAGAGTCTATGACAGAGCTGAATTCATCTCTCCAGTGCCTGGTGCTGAAAGAGATGCTGAACATGACTTGCTCTCTTCCTCTCTGCGCTCTCCGGTATGAGTTGGAAAACAGGATGCACATCCATCACAGAGACGCAGACAGCAGAACACATAAACACGTACATAGCTAAGTGAAGACAGAGCACTAAGACTTGAGGGCTGGGAGACACTGAAGAAACTGGAGCGGTCTCATTAAGCCCTGGGGAAAGAATAAAGGTGGGGTGCCCTTGCCTACACTTTTGTTTTCATTTTTATAGCAAGTAAGATCTTAAAGGAATTCTGTGATGGGATCTGCAAAAGAGAAATTCCTCCCATCCTAGCTAGGATGGGCATGGTGCTCTTCCCACCAAGAGCTGGAGTCTGTTTCCCCTCCCCTTGAACCTGGGCTGACCATGTGACCTACTTTAACCAAAAGAATATAGTGGAGGTGATGCTGTGCCAGTCTGGGCCTAGACCTCAAGAAGTCTAGTAGTTTCTGCTTTTGCTTCTGGAAGTCAGCTCCCATGTAAAGAATCTCAGGACAGATTACTGAATTAGGAGAGGCCACATGCAGGACAACCAAGCATCCCAGCCGACAGCCCACACCACAGCCCTAGATATGTGTGGCCACCTGAGACCCTTCAGCTCCAGTCAAGCCCAATCTACTGCCTGTGGAGCCGAGAGGGGTAGTCCTCCCACGAGCCTGGCCAAACTGTAAAATCATGAGATGAATGGTTGCTGTTGTTTCAAGCCATGAAATGTTAGAGTGGTTTATTACACAGTAATATGTAACTGAAACAGCCTTCTCTGCATCAGATGCTTTGAATGCTGAATGTTAGGCTTTATCTCTTTTTTCATTTTTCAAATGAGGAAGTCAAAGTTTATAAATTGCTCCAAGTCATGCAGCTGGTAGTAGCAGATCTGGGATTTGAACAAGATCTGCCTGACTTCAGGCCTTCCCTCTTTTCTGTCCTCTCTTTCACCCAGTGATCCTCACTGTAGTGAGTCTGGGTTGGAATCATGGGTTTAAGAAAGAAATTTTTTTTTAAGATTTTATTTTTTTGTCAGAGAGGGAGAGAGAAAAAGCACAAGCAGGGGGAGCAGCAGGAAGAAGGAAAAGCATGCTCTCTGCTGAGCAAGGAGCCTGATACGGGACTCGATCCCAGGACCCTGGGATCATGATCTGAGCCAAAGCTGGACGCTTAACCAACTGAGCCACCAGGTGTCCCTGAAGGAAAAGATTTCTAGGAGGCAGTAAATCTTAGACAAGGCTTTGGGGGCAGGGGGAGGGGTGTTTTGGCTGAGAAGAGTGAGAAGGGCTTTCTGTTCACACCAAAGGTCTATTTTCAGTTGAGGCAAAGTGTCTATTCCAGCCTTTCTCGACTGGAGCACTATGAGAATTAAGCCCCAGTGCCTCCATCCATTGCATGTCATAAATTAACTTCTTCTATGCATTCAGAACATTACTAGTTATGTAGCATCTTGGGAAAATTGAGAAAGTAGCCACACAAATTATCTGTGGGGTCTAATGCCCTTGCTGAGAATGTTGGGTTGGAGAGAGTGGGGGAACCAGAGTCCAGGGCCAGATAGTCATGTACGCAATGGCCAAGAGGCCTCCCTCCAGCTGAAGCAGGGCCTACGTCAGGAAGGAGTGGAATACTTCGTTATGATGCCCTAAGCATCAGTTAGACCTCTGGCTGTGGGGCCCACAGCCCCATGCCTCTGCTGTCTGTTGAAGTACTCAAGGACCATCCCTTACAGTTGATCTATTCTGAACCTTCATGATGAATAAAATCTTCACACTGAACGAGACTTCCAGTCACAGTGACTCTCTGCACATTCAAGAAGGATTGCCCTGGAATCCTTAATTTTATCATTTATGCATTCAACACTATGGAGTGCCTTCTGAACTAAGGCTGACCACGTACCTGGGAGGGGGTGTGATCTCTTTGTTACTTCATTTATTCACTATTTATCCAAAATCTTAAACATCTGTTCATATGTATCATTTTGGGGTTGAGCTAACATGGACAAACAATTCCCAGAGTAGTGGCCTTATGCTGAGTAAGAACTCTTGTGCCTGAAATCTGTATTTTCTGATTTTGTTATTATTTTGATGGAGGAGAAAGTAGTTTGGTTGCTTTTTTTTTTTGGTGGTGGTACTGCAACAGCTTTCAAAATCATAATTTGATAACAGGAATTTTTTTTAAGATTGTATTTGAGAGAGAAAGAGAGAGACAGAGCACAGTGAGAAGAGAGGCAGAGGGACAGGGAAAGAGACAAGCAGACTCCCCACTAAGCAGGAAGCCCAAAGTGGGGCTCAATCCCAAGACGCTGGGATCACGACCTCAGCCACAGGCAGACGCTTAACCAACATGGGCCCCTGGTGACAGGAAATTGAAGAGGAGTTTCCTTAGGAGAAACTAACTGCCAATTTGCTAAAACTGCCTCCCCCGGCTGAGGTTGGGTGAGGAAGCAATCGCAGGGTTTCCCTGCTCAGGCTGCTCCTAGGCAAAGCAGGAGGGCAGGTACTGAGCAGCTTCTCTCCCTCCACTCTACTTTGCCACCACCTGCCTGGAGAGAGGGAAGCTACTGGCCCCCGACCTCCCACCTCCCCAGAGCCTGAATCCTATAAGCAACTGCAGTCCCACCTTCGCCAGCAAGCCTCCAGAAAACCAGGCCATCCTCTTCTCTCAGCTCTTCTTCAGGCAAGTCTGCGAAGTTCTGGGCCTCCCCCACCCTGCCCCTCAGCACCCCACTAAATCCCAAGGCCCCTTGGCGGGCTGTGGCATTTATTACACTGACAGCTCACGCCTGCAAACCTCACAGCTAAACACTAGGAAGGAAACCCCACAAAGCCTGTAAATAGCCAAGATAATGGTCATAAACCCTGGAGACCAAAGCTCTCCAGCCATTCTTCTAAATTTTTAGAACATTTTTTTAAAAAGATTTTTTTTATTTATTTGACAGAGACACAGCGAGAGAGGGAACACAAGCAGGGGGAGGGGCAGAGGGAGAAGCAGGCTTCCCGCCGAGCAGGGAGCCCGATGCGGGGCTCGATCCCAGGACCCCGGGACCATGACCTGAGCCGAAGGCAGATGCCCAACTCACTGAGTCCCCCAGGCGCCCCTAGAACATTTCTAAGAAGCCCTGGCAGCTGGTGGCCCAGCCTACTCACAGGCAACCACTGGGAAACAACAAAATCTCTAATAAGGAGGCTTAAGCATTTTACAAACACAGCTTTTAGTTTAGAGATAGCAAGTTACAAACACGCTCAAAAGCCCCTGAGGCACGCGGCAGAAAACTGGAGACTGGTAGTTCTCCCAACCGCGGAACGTGACCGACGGTCAGGGGCCTCGCTCCGCGGGGAGACGGGGGGTCCCTGCCTGCCTCGTGACGGAGGAGTCTCGGCTGAACTGAACCCAAACCTCCCGGTCGGAAAAGCCTGTTGTTTGTTGTTTTTTTTACATCTCGGCTACCTCGGGTCCCGAATGTTCTCGCTTAGAAAGATGGAAGATGTACTTCTCAGAGAACCTCAACATACCTAAGATATAAGTATCCAGGTTCTCCCGCAACTTGGAAAAGTCACAACTGAGGAAATCTGGCAAACGCGGGGTTTGCAAACGGAGTAACCCGCCGGAAGCGAATTTCCTCAAGTGCGGCGTTAGTCTTAGGGCGGGCGCGCGCAGGCCGGGCGGGTGAGCCCCGGCTCCGCCCCGCTGGGGGAGGGGGCGCAGAAGGGCGGGGGGGGGGGGCTCGCCCGGGCGCGAAGCCTACATTCATTGGCCAGGTCCCTCGCGCCCCGCCACAAGGCCCCGCCTGCTCCGAAGGGAGGCCTCCCGGGCGCGCGCGCGCGCTCGCGGCCTCCCCGCTTGAGCCCTCCGGATGGAGTCTTTCTCAGAGCCGCTCTCCACACGGCCCCCACCTGTAGACTTCCGGCCGGCTGCCTATCGCCGCCCCGCCCCCGAGGGCAGGGGATGCTGGGATCCGCCAATCACTGGGCGTCTGTGGTAGGAGTGGGTGGAGCCTGAGAGATTCGAAAGGAGCCCCACCCCCTCGGGGCTGATTCCCGGGACCAAGTGGTGGGGAGGCAAGCACCTTCGGCGAGAGGTGAGGCGGGGCGGAAAGTAAAAACGCAGGGTGGGCTGGAGGTGTGGTGTGCGGGTGGTGCCGTGGGAGTTGAAAGGTGATCTGGGGAGAGGAAGAACCGGAGGATGGTGGCGGGGAAGGAGATAGGGCGTGCAGACCGCCCCCGGTGAGGAGAGGCCAGGTTGTAGGGGGGCGGCTGGGCAACCTGAGGAGGGGGGATGTGCGCTCTCCGCACCTTCCCCGGAGGTAACAGGGCTAAGTTACAGGGGCAGGTGCTACTCCTGGGACCCTTGCTTTACCTCCAGCGTGATCCCCAACCCCTGGCTTGCACCCTGAGTCTAGCTGGGAGCCTTGGGCAGGATGGAGAACTGAAGAAAAGGGTATTTTCTCTCCAGCTCAGGTCTAAGCTGACTCGTTCTCCTACCGGCTGGAACATGGAAGATTTGGAGGAAGGTAAGGAAAGGAAGGAGGGAAGAATGAGGCGCTGCGATTGAGAGCCGTGTTAGTGACCTGAGGCTGGCATTCATTCCCTTCTCCCCTACAGATGTAAAGTTTATCGTGGATGAGACCTTGGACTTTGGAGGGCTGTCACCATCTGACAGGTACCATCCTCTTTAACCTACTTGCTTTCCTCCAACAATGCCTCTTTGTCTCTAACCGCCTACTGCTGAATTATTGGTCTCTGGGGTCTGGGTTGGTAATGTAGCAAGGTTGGGTGCCCTGCGGCTGCCGGGGGACTTGTTGACATGGGCCTCAATGACACTACTGGGGGAAGGAAAAACGGATAAGCTGGAATGGGATTTCAGGATGTTAAGAAAAAGGGTAAGTGGATTTGCTGCGTCTTCATCCTGGCGTCGTTTCCAATGTCGGTAAGAGCTAAAGGCCTATTAGGCCTCATAGAACCAGGCGTCTCATCACCTAGAGGCCAGATCTCCCAGCCAGCATGGGCATCAGGGTTTGGGTTGTATCCCTGGCTCTGTTGTGGGGCGGGGAGGGGTACCAGGTCTCCTTTGCACAGTCTCCTGCTCTCTTCTGTGTGCGCATGGTGCCTGGTTTGTTTTCTGTCTCAGTCGTGAGGAGGAAGATATAGCAGTGTCGGTGACTCCAGAGAAACCCCTCCGAAGAGGACTTTCCAATCGAAGTGACCCAAATGCAGTGGCCCCAGCCCCCCAGGGGGTGAGGCTCAGCCTAGGCCCCCTTAGTCCAGAGAAGCTGGAGGAGATTCTCCATGAGGCCAACCGACTGGCAGCCCAGCTGGAGCAGTGTGCCCTGCAGGAGCAGGAGAGCACAGGTGACGTCCTGGGGCCTCGCAAGGTGAAGCCCAGCCCTCGGAGGGAAACCTTTGTGCTGAAGGACAGTCCCGTCCGAGACCTGCTGCCCACTGTGAGTTCTTTGACTCGGAGCACCCCCTCCCCAAGCAGCCTGACACCCCGACTCCGGAGCAGCGATAAGAAGGGGGCAGCCAGGGCTCTTCGGACAACATCTGGAAAGAGGCCCTCCAGTGTGAAGAGAGTAAGTTTGGAGGGTCTGGGTTGGATGTGTGCCCTCAGACACAGTGTGTGACTTGGTATAGCCATAGAGTTGGTAAAATGGGGTTAGTAAAATTCTACCTCAGAATTATTGGAATTAAGCAAGATACCATAAGCAAAGCACTTACCGCAGCATCTGCACATATCTCTGTAAATGTCTATAATAAGTTCAAGATAAATGGTATTGGTGAGGATGATGATGTTGGCAGCTAACGTCTGCCCTTCCTTACTGGGACGTAGGCAACTCTCCACCTCTATTTCTCAAACAGCCAGCAGAACAGATTCTTTTTCTCTTCTAGTTCTATTTTTTCTCTCTTTGTATTTCAGGAGTCACCCACTTGCAATCTGTTCCCTGCATCCAAAAGCCCAGCATCTTCTCCTCTTGCCCGATCCACTCCTCCAATCCGGGGCAAAGCTGGGCCCGTTGGGAGAGCAACAGCAAGTGAGAAGGCTTGGGCAGCAAAGCTGTGGGTGAGTGGGAGGGGGGGAAGGATGTGGATCTGACCCTCTCATTCCTCTACTCCTTTCCACCAGGCCCGCCTACCCCTGTCAGACCAGTCTTGGCCCCACAGCCTTCTACCAGCAACTCTCAGCGACTCTCTCGGCCACAGGGAGCAGCTGCTAAGCCTTCCAGTCGACTGCCTATTCCCTCAGCCATCCCCAGGCCTGCCAGCCGAATGCCACTCACCAGCCGGAGTGTACCACCCAGCAAAGGTGCCCTGCCTCCAGCTTCTCTGCCAACTCGGAAAGGACTTCCACGACCAAGCGCCGCAGGGCACAGAGGTGAGGAAGAGTGGACATAATAGTTGGAAATCAGGAGGAAGAATGCTTGCCCTTGCCCAGCTTGGATGCACCCTCCCAGAGCTGGGACCAGGGACCACTTTCTCCATCTTCATTACCACTCAATTTGAAGATGGGGAGACTAAGTGAAAGAGAGGATGGGGGTCCGGGCAAAGAGTCTGAACCATGGTTTTCAAATACCTTATGTTTTTGACCTTGGGTAGGAAGAAAGGCACTAATCCCAAACTCCCTCTGAGAAGGTCATTTGAACTCTCTGCTAACTCATTTCTTTTGTCAACCCCCATCAAGTTCCCATTTCCCAGCGACCAAATCTTCCGGTCCCTGGTGCCACTCGAAGCAATCTGCAGCCCCCCAAGAAGGTTGCAGTCCCAGGACCTACCAGGTAAGACTGGTTAAGATGCTCTCTCCCCTCTGTCATCTGGGCTTCCAAACTGTTATGCACACCAGCCCTGAGTCTTGTGTGGCAAGGTGGGGATGAGAGGGGAGCCTGGAGAGGCAAGGAGTCCCATTTCCTCCTTCCCTCAGAAACTTGACCTCAGCTGGGTGACAAATGGGCTTGAGGAAGAGGGACAATTTAAAGCAGTTCTTCCTTCTGACTCCTTAGGTAAAGAGATCAGGACAGCAAGCAAGAATTCAGTAGCAAACCACTACCGTCACTGCCTGGACTCACCTCTACTCGGCCTCCCAAGCCCTCTCATGGAAGACAGGCCCTGACTCTAGCAGATTCTGGCCCGGGAGCAGGAGAAAGAGATGACACCAGGGCTGGTGGCCCAAGAGTAAAGAGATGGGAGATGGGGTGGATTAGGGCTGAGCTGGAGGGGAATCAAACCCTGTGGGTTGAAAGAGGATTAGGGAAAAGAGGTCACCTCCTGACAGTGAAATTAACAAGCAGAAAATGAGAAAAGCCAGAGAGTAGCCAGCCCCGACTCTTGTGTTTAGTCCCAGAGGGTTTGATCTTCTTCCCAGGCATTGGTTCACTGGGCATTTACATGTGAATGGCCTCCTGCTCTCTGAGGAGGAGCCCTGAATTACGTCCAGGACGCAGGCCTGTTTGGAGAGACAGAGGCAGGCACATGGTCTCCAGAACTTCTTTCCTGTAAATTCTCTGACTCTTAAGAGGCCAGTTGATGATAAGCTTACATTGGTCAGTGTTTTTCTAAAATAAAATGAATGTATTTTTCTAATCTCTGTACATGTGAAAGTAAATTCTCCAATTTCACACAGATTTGTAGTAAACTCCTGTATTATTCCGATGACGGAGCCGCGACAAGCTTCCCAGACCAGGGCCTAATTAGGCTGAAGGGGCTTGTGATTCGGGACCACCCACCCTCCCTGTGTTGGCACTAGATGGGAACAAGCTGCCTTCTTCCGGGATACATGTGTTAATGAAAGGTCCAGATCAAGTGAAATATGTGAGTGAGGCTATCAAGGCAAGGTCTTGGTCAAGTTATTATCTATATCCTAAGCTTGGGTGTCTTTCCTGGCAAGAGCATGGAGCCTTCTGAGAATGCCCTCAGCATCTGCTCTGCTGTACTGATGAGATGAGGGGACCCTTTGGTGGGTACCCTGGTATTCAGTTTTGCTGACTGCTTCAGCAGAAGATGCTGGAACACCTCATCACATTCTGCCTTATATCATTAGAATTGGTGGTCCTAGACTTGAGGGCTGACACCTTTGTCTTACAAACCTCTGCCGTGCCTAGTGTTATGATTTGTATGTGGCAGAGAATTTCATTCATTTGTTGAAAAAATAAATTTGAGTGCAAGGGAGGGGGGGGTTGGTGAACGAATGACAGAGACTAACAGATTTCACTAAGGGTCCCCCTTTTCTCACAGCCTTTGACTCTTGAAACCAGAACCAATTCAATTCCTTGTTGGGTTTTTGGTTTTTTTTTTTAGGATTTATTTATTCATTTTAGAGAGAGAGAGCCGGGATAGGGGGCAAGTAGGGGCGGAGGGAGAGGGAGAGTCTTAAGCAGACTCTGCTCTAAGCATGGAGCCCGGGGCGTGGCTCAACACGGGGCTCGATCTCACGACCCCGAGATCACAACCTGAGCTGAAACCAAGAGTCAGACGCTAAACAGACTGCACCACCCAGGTGCCCCAATTCCTTGTGAGTTTTGAGAGAACTTCCCTCTTTGAAGGCTGGGCTATGACTTAAGGAAGGCAGTAGGCGACTGAACAGAGGGAGTGGAGTGTCAGCTGGTGCCCCCCGCCCCCCCACATATAGATGCCCATCAGCACCCCACTTAGGCATTAAAATGTCCTTTCCCAGACAGAGGCCCTCCACTGCTGTCTCCTTTTTATGGCTGATCTTCAGGTTCAATGAACATATTGACTTTTATTACAGTGGCAGCCGCCTAGGCATTCGCCTCTCTCCCTGAGCCTCCTACAGCAACTCCTACAGGCTCTGGGAGTCTAAGAATTGAGCTGCGGGAGGGGATGCGGAAAGACACCGACTATTTGGCTCTGGAGAAATTTGGCAGAGGCAAGAAAACCTCAGGTGTGTTCTCCAGCTGGTGAGCAGGGCCCTTGGTGACTCCCCAGTGGGACCGAAGCTCTGGAAGGCCGGCGCGCCTAGGCAAGCTCTGAGGTGTGGCCGTCAGATGGCACGTGTGTGTGGCTTGGGAGGCAGACCCGTATGCTGTTGCCACCTGGTGGCCAGAAAGGACAAGGCATGTTCCCTTTGCCCTTGGTCAGTCTTGAATTTCATAACCCCCACCTGCCCTGCCCCCATCCTGCTCCAAACCTGCTTAAGCAACGTCCAGTAGACCTTGCCAGCTAGGGAGGAGGCCCCCTGCCACAGCGGCCCTTCTTGCTCGGCTACCTGCTTACTTCCTTCCCTTTGGGGCTGGCTATTTTTCTCTGCACTCTACCCCCACCCCTCCCCAGGAGCAACAATGCCGGAAGCCAACATTTACTGGCCTCTTAACTACGCACTGCGAACTGTTCGAAGCACTTTACATGTGTTAACTCATTTAATTCTCATAAAAGCTCAATTAGGCGGATGCTATTATCATCCTCATTTCGCAGGCAGAGAAACTAAGGCCCGGAGAGCTTAGGTCACTGGGTCTGGTTCCAAGGTATGTGCTCTTAATCACTACCCTCTATGGCCCCCATGTTAACTCCCCGGCTAGTTTGCTGAACAGACCTTTGAAAAACACAAAACTTGGGAAAGGAAGTAATGTTGCAGAGCACGGAGGTGGCTTGAGTGTGAATTGTTGCTTCATTTCTGATGGGAAAACACACACAATGACCCAGAGGAGTGGAGTCAGGAGGTACCTCGTCACTGAGCCACTCAGCCACCCTGCCCTCCCTGTCTCCTGAATTCTGTCCCCAGGACTCAGCCCTAAGGGGCTGGCCTGGAAACCTGCCTTCTCTTTGCAGCCTCCCCAGGGACACAAGTCCCTGTTGTCCTGATGAAAAGGATACTCTCCTGCCACCTGCCACATCTTCTTTGGACGTGCCAGGACATGGGCTCCGAGCTGATGAGGCTATTCGGGGAGCACTGCTGGGATGCTGGTAGTGGGGGCTAGCTCACTGGCCACTTGACATCCGAGTCCCCTGACTTCCTGGCCCTCCCACGGCCCTCCCTGCTCTTGTTTTCCAGAACCTCCCTCTGGAAGCACAGGGCACCCACAGAAGCACAGGATGACAGCGCTCAACCCGCACAGAACTATAGTTTATTCAGTAGTATGGGGAAATGAAAAAAAAAAAACAAACAAACACAAAACCCTACTGTATTTACAGTAACAATCAAACTGTACAATCTGATGGTTAGTATCAAGTTAGCATCCAGCATCTTTGTATTTTTTTAAGTCAAGTCATCAGTAGTTAAAAACCAGTTAAATTTTTAACCCTTTGTAGGAATTGCTGAGGGGAGAGTTCAGGGGGCGAATCCATGGCAGAAAAGCCGGTAACCAGCCTTACACATGAGAAACAGGAACATTTTTTTTTTTTCCCACCCATAGCCTCTTTTTCTAGCCACCTGCTCCAGAGGAAAGTCGGTGACAAGTGGGGAATACATGCTCAGCGTACATGGGAACTCAAACGAACAGCGGTTGGCAACACTGAGGCGGCGGGAGGAGAGGAGGCAGGAGATGAGAGCCTGGAGCAAAGGGAAGGGCCTCAGGCCCCCGCGCCAGGACTGCTGGGTGCCCACCCAACCCGTCACGGCCACATCAGACCCCCTGGGACCGGACACGAACCCATCCCAACACAAAAAGCAAATAAATAAAAATATATATTAACTCTCTCTTCGCAGGGAGCTGGGGATGGGCGTGGGAGAGGGAGAGAAAGAGGAACGGGACCTGGTCCTTTGAAGAAGAGAGCCAATTCCGAAAAGGGGTTAAAAATAGAACACGTCTCAGAGGCCACAGTAGGTCAGACAAAGTGGGATTTGTCTGATCTTGGGGGGGGGGGGGGGGGCAGTGGTGGTGGCTGCGTGGACACCAGAACCCAGATTTGAGACCTGTGCTTGAGACTTCTGGGGGCAACCAAGCCAGCCCTCGACTTACTCTTCCTCCGCGTCCCACCCACACCACAGCAAAGAAGCGCAACTAAACACATGACTGGCCTTCCCCGGGCGGGTCAGGCAGGGAAATGAAGCACTTTTGGGTCAGCAAACTGAGCAAACGCCCGGGCTGCAGCACGTGGCCAGAGTCCAGGGAAAGGAGAGGGGCTGGGGTGGCCCGGCCTCCGCCCAGGGGCACGGGTTCCCCTCAAAATGTGTTCATGCAGCATTTGGGGGTCCGGGGGCGCGGAGTCCTTCAGCCCCCTCTCCGGACGGGGCTTTTGCAGTTCCTGGGAGGGGCAGCACAGGCAGGGTGAGGAGTGCCCTCGACCTTGACGCCCTCACCATACTGAGGCCCCGCCGGGGTGCAGCCTGCAGGGCCCGATGCCCTGGGTGCATGTGGCTTTGTCCTTTCCTTTTGGTGATGGCAAACGAGGGGCAGGCCCCCCAAGAGTCCCTCTCCTCCCAGAGGCACAGCAGATGGGAAACTGAGGAGAGGCTGGGAAGTATCCTGGGAGGTCCTATCCTCTTCGGGAAGGGAAAGGGGAGTCAGTTTCCAGCATATAAAAAAAATTAATCCCTGAAGTCATGAAGAGTGGAGATCCTTTTTTAAATTCTTTTTTTTCCTCTTTTCTGAAAAAACTTTGTCTTGGAGATGTTGGCCCCGGGGGTCCAAAGTGCAGTGAAGGGGATGGTGGGGGAGGGAGTTGGCACTAGATGGCCCTGGGTGGGGTGGGTGCCCCTCCCGGCAAGGCCCAGGCTCCTCAGATGGACGTTTCGTCGCTGCTGTGGGCAGGCGGTGGGGAGCAGGGGCAGGATAAAGCACAAGACAGGAGTGGGGGCATGAGTGCAGCTGGGGAAGGTAAGGGAGCCTCAGGGTGTAGGAACCACCGGCCCAGGGTTAATGCAGGAAGTTAAAGAAGAGAAATCTGGAGAGGCAGGAAAGGAAAGTGACAGAAAAGGCAGACAGGGGGTTAGTCGGAGCAGAGAAGACAGTGAGAAGCTTTCACCAGAAGAAGGAAACAGGAAAGCAACCCCAGCTCCCCACCCTCCCTCGCTTTGCCTGATGCAGGCCTAAGCTGACCCCGCGGGCCCCCATGGTTTGTGGGCCCATCACAGTAAGGGGGCTGGGCTACACCAGCCCATTCGTCCCCTGACCGCCTGCCAGAGCAGCCTGGGGAGGCCTGGAAGCGGCTCCGAGCCCAGCCAGGGCCTCTGCGGGGCTGCACCCTGTCCCACCCAGCCAGCCCCACTCACTCGGAGCCCGACGAGTCCTCATCCACCGTGCCTGCCTTGATACTCATGGCGATGGGCATGACCCCGTTCAGCTGCTCCTGCAGACTCTGCCGGGGTGGAGGGCGGGGAGGGGGTCCGCCCCGGCTGCCCTCGCTGGCTGAGGAGCCCCTAGAAGACCCTGTGCCTTGCTCCAGGGGTAGCCGTAAAAGGCTGCTCTTCTCACTGATGGTGGGCAGACACTTCTTCTTGAGGATGCCTGTGGGCCGGGGTGGGGGGGCAGGTGCCATGAGGAGCGGGCGGTGGGATCGGGGGGCTGCCCTAGGGAGCCCTACCAGCCACAGGGCGAATGTGAGGTGTGAGGGTGCCGAATGGGGGACACGGCAGCTGGGCATGCCCCACTCACCTTTGTGAGGTTGGGCAGAGGGGCCTGGAAGGGGGCCAAGGGACCCCTCCCGAGGCAGGGCATCTCCATTCTCCCATGGGCGCTCCTCAGAGACCCCATTACCACTACTCTCCTTTGCTGTGGTCCCGAAGTCTCCTGGCCAGGGGGCCTTCCCAGGCCCTGGGCCCCCATCTAGCAGAGAAAGGAAGTAGGTAAGGCCCAAAGGAGGCAGACAACTAGGCAAGTCACCACCCTAGGAATCCCTGGCTCTCTGCCCTCCCACTGCCCCCTCAAAGGCCCCAGCCCTGGCGCTGGCCCACCCTTGGGGGTACTGTGCAAGGGCAGTCTCTCAGCGCCAGGCCCCAGCAGGCTGTCCCAGCCCGGCTCGCCAGGGAAGACGGGCTCTTCCTCCTCCTCTTCCTCCTCCTCACTGTCTGATGAGTGAGTAGAGGCATAGGAACCACTCTGGTCATCTTCCAGGGACAGGTCACTGTCAGAGTCCGTGTCAGGGTCTGGGAGACGGGGAAAAGATCAGAGCTGCCCCGTGCGCCTCTGCACACCCCCCACAAGAGCCAGGCAGCTGCCCCCCACTGGTCAGCAGGAGCTTCCTTTCTCACCATGCTGCTGGTCTTGACCTTCCAGGAATAGGCTGCCTGGGTCCCCCAGGCCAGGGGGCCCTTGGCCAGGGTTCAGCGTGGACTCTTCCCTGCAAACACAAGACCACGCTGGAGGGGTTGGCCCAGCCCCTTGCCCAGGGTCCCACTCTTTTCTCTCTCCCCGGTTTCCCGGTCCCTGCCCCCGTGCCCCTCCTGCTTCTAATTTAAGCTGCCACCCGTGTCGGCCGCCCTGTGCGCTCTTCAGCTCCCAGCACGTGGCTGGCCTGGCTTCCAGCACGTGTGGTGCTCCTTGCCCCTTGCCGACGCCCCCAGCACCGGCGCTCACCTCAGCAAGAAGGGAATGTAGCTGGGCTGACTCTTCCCCGAGCGGCTGGCGCTATGCAGGGAGCCAGCTGAGTCTCCATAGGGCTGGTACAGCCGCCCATCCGCATAGGGGCTGGGGCAGTTGTAGGACTAGGCAGGGAACAGAGAGGTCAGTAAGTGGGGGAGCAGCATGGGGCGGCCCCAGGATGGAGAGTGGAAGAGCCGAGGGAGCTTGTCCCAAGGTCTACCTCCCACGTGCCCAGGTCTGGCAGAGAGAGGCCCCACATCTCTGCAGCTCCCCCGAACTGCGGCCCCCCCCGCCCAATATCAGGCCCTGGTAGTGGTTGTAGCTCTCCCGTAGCTCTGCCAGCCCTGTGCACCCCAAGGACCCTGAACTCGGCTATATGAGAGGGCTTCCTGGTAAAAAACCATCTCCCAAGAATGTGCTGGGAGACAGAAAATTTACCCAGATGCACCGGGGATTCTCAGACGCTGGGTATCCGTGACTACATCACCTGTCTTGGCCCCTCTTCACCTTCTTCTTCCTGGCTCCACTCCCCTCCCTCCTGAGTCAAAATCCTCCTCCCCAGCCCCAGATCCCGCTCTTCCCAGGCCGCACATACCATTTCCCCAGCCCTTCCCTCCGCCCCAGCAAAGGATGTGAGGATGGAAAAAAAGTGGGGCACAAAGCACAGAGAACCAGCTCCTTGGGGCTCCTGCCTCTTCCACCCGGCCCCAGAGCCCTCCAGCTCCCTGGCCCCCAGCTCCCTCACCGAGGTCAGGGTGGACTTGGTGGTCAGCGCAGGGTCAGGGCTGGGCTTGCGGCTGCAGGCAAACTTGAATGCTTTCCGGACCTCCTTGCTAAGCACCACGTAGGAGAGGAAGATGAAGGGGCCCTGGCAGGCAACAGGCGGCAGCTAAGTGCCTGTCTGGGCACCCCATGGGCAGGCCTCCCCTCCCACCTCCACAGGGCACGGCCCGGTACCTGGATGCAATTGCAGGCAGCAAAGAGGTAGTGGAAAAGGAGGGTGTCACTGTTGACAGAGAGCAGCGCCAACAGCCACGTGGCGCTCAGCAGCAGGAGGACAGCGAAGGAGGGCCGCAGGCCCGAGCTGGAGAGGGGGAGGCTGTGAGCCCGGCCCGGAGGCCCCCTGCGCCCCTGCCTGCCCACTGCCCACTGCCCAGGCACCCACACCCCATACTCACACGGGGCCTTTCTTCTCAAAGCCCTGCCGCTGGGCAGCACAGGAGGCCCGGGCCGCCAAGATGTACAGGAAGACACTCATCTACCAAGGCAGGAGGATCATCAGGGGACAGACAGCTTCTATCCCACCCCACGGGGGCCCAGCAGTTGCACCATTCCTAAAGGGGATCCTGAGGGCACACGCAGCCTGTTGGCCCCCCAGCCCGCTTTCTAGCACCTACCGAGACCGCGAAGGCCACAGGGCCAGCAAAACTCCAGATGAGCGTATCGTAGATGGAGAGCCAGCAGAAGTCAGGGTTCCCATAGCCCTCAGGGTCCAGGCCCACGGCTAGACCTGGGGGTATGGTGACAACAGCAGGGGAAGGGGTGGTAGGGCCCCGGGAATCAGTCAGGTGTCATGTGGGCTCACGGGGCCAGGTGCAGAGGATGAAAGGTTCCACCCACCCTGTGTCCCCGTGTTCGTGCCGACCTCTGTAGGACGGGGGACCCAGCCCCTGATGGGGAGCCTCGGGGGCCGAGAGGAGGACTTGGCCTGGGGCATGGCGATGCGGGTGGGGAGAACGTGGCATGAAGGTGGACCCCGGGCCCGGGAAGGGCGGGTACCTGTGATGAAGGCGGGCACGCCCCAGCCCAGCATGTAGTAGAAGCGCATGGGGCCGGCATTGACGTCGCGCACCTCGGTGAGGGCCCGGTACAGGTGCAGGGCCTCCAGCAAGGCCCAGGAGAAGGTGCAGAGGTACAGGAAGTGCAGCAGGATGGCGATGACTGTGCAAGCAAACTGGGGGCCCGGCCACGCCAGGTCAGTGACCAGGGCACCCCCAGGGCACGGATTCCAACTTACCAGGCAGAGGGGCAGGGCCGGGGCGTTGGGTGGTGCTTCGGGATGTGTGGGCCAGAGGGAGGTACATCTAGGGTGCCGGGGAAGTGAGGGGGAGCTCGAGAAGAGGAAACCGTGGGCTGGGTGCTGGGCTGGGTTCTATCAGAGTTTCTGCTGCAGAAGCAGGGACCGGGGCAGGGAGCCGGAGAGGACTAGAAGCTGTGGATGGTTTCTGGGGGAGGAGAGCCATCTTACAGGGAGGTCAGCCTGGTTGATTCCTAGGAGGAAGACCAGCTGCGCCAGGCCCAGAGCCCCAGTCAGGTTCCGTCGGATGCCGTGCTGGTTGGAGCGTAGGGCACGTAGGATGGTGAGGAAGAGGAAGGCGAGCAGCAGGGCAGCCAAGGTGACCCCTAGGGCCACGTATGTCAGTGTCTTCAGTGGCAGGATCTCCCCATTCTGCAGGGCAGGTGGCAGGAGGCCAAGCGAATTAGGAAGGGCCGGGCCTGAGCATCCAGCCCGGGGCCCGGGGCCCTGGGCCCCCACCCCTGGCTCCGCAGCTGTCTCCCCCCAGCCCCCCACCGTGGGTCCAACCTCCCGCCGGGACACGTCCATGAGCACGGCGAAGCTCGTCATGTGGTTGCACTGGCAGCTGACGTGACTCTCGTTGCGGAAGACGACCTCGCAGCCTCGGGCTGACCAGCCACCCGTGCCACTGACCCTGCAGGGGTGCGGGGGGGAGCGGGAGGCAGGGTCAGGACGCGAGCAGGGGAAGGCACCCAGGGGCCTGGCTCTCCGCCCAAAGCCTTGGGGGTAGGGCAGCGCAGGCTCACAGGATGGAATGGTTCCAGAAGACACAGATGGGCTTGGTGCGTTCCTCCGTCTCCAACAGCCGGAACTGCACCGTGACCGGCTTGTCCAAGGCTCGGGGCAGAAGCTCCTCATCGTCATGGACGCTGATACTCACCACGGGCGTGTTGATGACCGGCCGTTTGGGGACTCTGACGAGGAACAGGCCGGCCCACAGTCACTACGGCAGTCTCGTGGCTGAGGGGACAGCCCGCATCCCTCAGGGGTACCCGGACCCCGGCCTCTCTCCAGGCTTCAGCACTCACCCACCCATGGTGCATCCCCGCCCCCTCGTCTCCGCGGCTGCTCACCTGAGGCTGCGCTTGTCCGGGTCATAGTTATGGGGCAGCAGGCTGGCCAGAGTGCGGTAGATGATGACACTGGCCACAGCCTCCCCGTGGCTCAGCTCTGGGTGCCGCCGCTGACGCCGTGCCAACTCCTCAGGCTCCTGGGCCTCTCCAGGGCTCGCAGGCCGGACCATGGTGGGTGTCTCTGGGATCGGGACACTGTCCACTCAGCGGGACCCTGCACAGGGATGCCCCAGCCAGGCCCCGGACCCACCCTGTAGCTCCCCACTGACCTCGAAAGACAGAATCAGGCAGAATGACCGTTGTCTCTAGGTCTGGGGGCCGCTCCCCCCGCAGCGCCTCATAGCGGGGCAGCTTGGCCCCAGCAAAGTTCCCCTTGTCCAAGCGAACCACAGAGATGACTAGGGAGAGGGTCACAGGTCAGAGCCGGGCTCAGGCAGGTGGGCCCCCAGCACAGCCACTGTGCCCGGGCTTCTGTCCACAAACCCCGCCCTGCCCCAGTCTCACCAATGTTGGGCGTGACAATGGTGAAGGGGTTCAGGTAGGTGTGCCGCATGTTCTGAGCCAGGGCGCTGGCATAGGCCTCGTAGTGCTGGAGCAGCCAGGCGGTGCCTCCCTCCGTCTGCTGGATCAGCTCCCAGTGCCGCTTGTTGGCCGCGTCCAGGAGGGCGCTGCCCACCCGCAGCAGGTTCTAGGGTGAGCGTGGTCAGGGTGCTATAGCCCCACGCCTTCTCCTCCCCACCACCAGGCCGCACCTGTGCCTAGACCAGCCCAGGCTACCCACCCGAACCACACCCCTCCCTCAAACCTTCCCTCTTCCTCCTGCAACTAAGAGTTCCCGGGCCCTGGGCCTGGACCCCTGCATAGGTACTAGATGCTGATTCCTCCCCACCCTGGCCCCGTGGGCAGGGGACCTCTGCTCCAAGGAGCCTGGTCACACCAGGCCCCAATACAAACATTAGTTTCTATCAGCACCTTACTAGGGAAAGGGCTGGAAAGAGATGCTCTAAATTCCACGGCTCAAGGGAGCTCCTGCAGGCCTCACGCCAGCTGGGAGGTCCCTCCCCAAAGGCAGGGATGGCCCCCAAGTTGCCCCAGGAACAGGCTCACTCACCATGACCCCCATCTAACCAGCCAGCCCTGCCCCAACCAAGCCCCACCTCGGTGAAGTGCACATCCTGTGTGGCGGACAGCCCAAAGCCCCGCTGGGCGCTCTCGTGGGCCAGCAGCCGTGTGGCCAGCTGGTAGGCCACCTTGACGTCGCTGCCGAAGTAGCCAGCCGTGTGCTGTGTGGCATTGCGCAGAAGCAGGGCCAGTTGCTGGGAGCGCCCCGAGTCCAGACCCGACTCGTTCCGCTGCAGCCGCTCGGCCTAGGATGGAGCCAGACAGGACAGGGAGCAAGGGAGGTCAGCACAGGAGGGCAGCAGTGAGGTCCCCAGAGGGCAGAGCTGGAACTCAGGAATGAAAGGGCCTCAGGAAAGGGGAGAAACGGCCACTCCAGGTGGAGGCCCCGGGAGGCAGGGGCTGGAATTCCAGAAGCCCCTTTCTCAAAGCTGGCAGCAGGGAGGGGAGAGAGGAGCTAGACATGAGGAGGTTCACTTACAAAGCCCTTCAGCTCTGAGAAGGTGACTGATGTGCAGTTGAAAAGGTTTGGGGGGAGCCACCCCCTGTGCTCATCACAGTGACGCACGGCGGTGCCTGGGGGAAGGAAGCCCAGAGGGCAGGCCTCAGGAGAGACACAGGAGGCCTCGGGGACCTGCCTGAGTTCCTGGGGGCCAGCACCTCATGGGCCAGAGACAGGAGACAAGCAAACAAGGGCCCTGCCCTCCTGGAGCCCCGGGTAGAAGAGGAAGACAGGTGTAGAGAACACTAGAGCCAAGACCTCTGCCAGACTGGCCCGAATGAGGACTCCAGGAGCACAGGGCGTGTGTCCTCCTTGAGCCCCCAGACATCGCTGCCCCTCTGCAGCCACCACTTTGGGCTCTCTGCCACTCTCTGCTTATGAACTGTGTTCGTCATCGATCCAAGGACCAGCACCAGCCCCCATCCCGGGGGCCGTGTCCCCTGGAATAGCACCCGACAGCTATGTATGATTCATCTTCGAATCTCTGATACCCAGCCCCGGGGTAGGCACACTGCAGGTTTGTCAGCATTGTTGGATAAGAGTTCAAGATGTAGGTGCCCTTCATCCAGGCAACCTTGGGAGCAGAGGAACAGTGCACCAAGGAAGGACCTGGAGACCAGGGAGAGGTCCCAGGATTTGCAGCCAGGGGCTTCCCGCCCTCGTCCCAGGGAGGAGAGGCTGAGTCCACAATATCACATGCTAGGCTTCCAGCACCTACCAAAGGAGCCTTTGGGGCAGGGGGCAGCAGCAGGCAGCCCAAAGCGGGTACGGGGCCACCAGATCCCAGCCTCGATGGCCCGTGGGCAGCTGTCATAATTCACTGCAAGGAAGCACACAGGGTCACCCAGGGGCAGCTGTCCCCTCGGAGCTCTGCTTGGGCTTCTGGCCCTCCCTCAGCAGCCCCGGGCCTGCAACCAGCCCCTGCTCCTGGCCTCCCTGGGATGCCGGGACCTGGCACGCAGCAGGAGAGCTGCCGACCCGTCATGGGAACCCCACCTTCACAGCCATTGGTGGTGACCTCAGCAAACGGGTTGTCACAGCGGTCACACTGGCGCCCAATGACACCTGGCTTGCATGGACACTGGCCGTCCTCAGAGTCACAGACGCGGGATAAAGAGCCCGTGGGGTAGCAGTCACAGAGGAGGCAGGTGGGGCTGCCAGGGGGCCGGTAGTGGTTCTCCTGAAAGGGAGGACAGACGATGCTGGTCACCGGCTCAGGCTCTCTCTCTCCGGGCTGCTCATGGGTCCTCTGGGCTGTGGTCCCTCTAGAGAGAGGCTCGCTGACTTCAGGTCCTCCCAGGAGTGGTATTCAAAATATTTAGGGGCGCCTGGGTGGCTTAGTCGTTAAGCATCTGCCTTCGGCTCAGGTCATGGTCCCAGGGTCCTGGGATCGAGCCCTGCATTGAGCTCCCTGCCCCGCAGGAAGCCTGCTTCTCCCTCTGCCCCTCCCCCACTCCTGCGCATAGCGCGCTTGCTCTCACACACTCGCATGTGCGCTCTCTCACAAAAATAAATAAAATCTTAAAAAAAATATATTTAACTGGTAATGATTTGCAGTGTAGTCCATCAATGAGACACCAACCAGTCAGAGCAGGCTGCAACCAACCAGTATAGCTGGCCTAGAGCTCACTGGTAAAGAACTGGTCCTGGGTCCCCCCAAACCGCAGACACGTGGGAGCATGTGGCCACTTGTCCCCCTCCCCCATCAGAGCAAGGGCACACAGCCCTGAGCTCTCTGCAGGAAGGCTTTCTCCACTGCCTCCCCTCAAGGGCCCGGGTCAGGGCTGTCACCTTGCAGTGGCACACGCCGCTTGTCTTGTTGCAGTCTGGGTCGAAGCCTTTGCCGATGTCACAGTTGCACGGGCCGCACGTGGGGTGTCCCCACCAGCCACGGGGGCAAGGCTGGTCAATCCTGCAGAGAGGGGCCCAGGCAGACATGAGCTCCCTCTGCCACACCTCGTCTGCTGCAGCCATGTGACTGTGGCTGTGGCTCAGCCCAGTTCCCGGTACTCTGAGGGACACCCCAGAGACAGGCTGCTGCATGCCCTGGTCCACTTACCTGGTCTCACAATATGGCCCAAGGTAATTCTGGAGACACTCGCAGGTGTAGCCGTGGGGGGCGCTGGGCTTTCGGATACACACAGACTGATGCTCACATGGGTTCAGGTCACACACGTTAGTACAGTTGTCACCATAGTAACCTGGGACCGTAAAGATGAGAGAGGCTCAATCCCCACCTTGCCCTGGCACTTTCTTTAAACCTGCCTTCACGCCACCTCCTTCCACCTGAGAATCCTACCAGCTGGCTATGGCTTTGTAGTGCAGGAGACAAGGCTCAGAGAAGTCATGTGACTGGCCTCAGGCCATACAGCAGAGCCGAAGTGAGACCCCTGGCGCGCCCCCACCTGCCCATCTCCCCAGATCCTTGGCACACCTGGATCACAGCTGCAGGAATAGCTGTCCCAGTCATCGCTGCAATAGCTGTTGGCAGGACACGGATTCGAGTCACAGGGGTCTGGCAGGCTGCAGCCTGGCTCCACATTGATGCCTTCCCCGCGGCTGGGATCCAGACCGCTAACCCCCTCGGGCGTCTCGCTTACCCTCACACCCTGGGAGGGACAGAAGCGATGTTGGCCCTCCGTGGCACGGGCCTCCAGGTGGGGAGGATGGCAAGGCAGAGGAGGATGCTCACCTGCAAACAGCCCCGGAAGCCGCGGGCCACACCGCTGGCTGGCGCAGGCACTCCCCCGACCGTAATGTTGCTCAGGTGCAGCCCATGCAGCCGGGGGCCTAGGTTGCCCTCTGCCCACTGCTGCCCATAGTCGAAGGACAGGATGGCATGGCCGGGGCCCCCAGTGGCTCCCAGTGCCAGCTGTGCATGGTGCCAGTCGCCGTCATTGGCCCGGCCTGGCTCCAGCTGGAGAGACGAGGCCTGGAGCCCTGTGCCCTCCACGCTCAGCACCACGTGGCCTTCCCTCAACTTCACCAGAAAAAAAGAAAAGAGAGTCAGCAGCCTGCCTTCATCGGCTCTTCCAGCCCACTGCCCTCCCGCCTGGACCACCAAACTCATCCTATAGCCCCGCTGAGGCCACAGAGGAAACGGTATTATTTCCCTCAGGGCCAATAGATGGCAGCAGTGATCCAACAAGCCGATGGAGCTGCCTCTTCCTCTGGGAAAGAAAAGACCCCGCCTAGCCCTCTCCGACCAGTCCCCTGGAGGCCATAGCTGCCCTGGTCAGGGCCCGCCTACCCCCCCACCCCCTCCCTGCATCACCTGCAGGGTGATGGTGCTGCGCCCCCTGGTGACAGCCTGCAGCAGGACACCGTTGGCCTGGCGTGTGCGGAACATGAGGCTGAGGTGCCAGGGCTGGGAGATGGGCAGCGAGAGGCCATGCCAGGCGAGCAGGCTGCTGCCCAGGAAGCGCTGTGGGTTGGCCATTTCTGGAGAGGCAGATGAAGGCAGACTCTGAGGGGTGGAGCAGCCAAGTGCCCCAGGGGCTGTGATGCTCAGAGGTGGTGGTTCCACAGGAGGCAGGGCACTGCCTCTCCTAGTGCCCACTCCCCTCGCCGGCCCCGCCCTCCAGAGCATTTACCTGTGCTGCGCCCGGCCCACACTGTGCCCAGGCCTGCCTCTGACTGGGCCCTTTGTCTCCAGTGCTACCCTCTCAGGGCTCTGCCCAGACATGCTTTTCCACCCACAGCCCAGCTTGGCTGGGCCCTGCCCAGTGCCTGCCCCGACCCTGCCAGTGTTCCCAGCATTGTTGACAGCTCTTGGGCCTTGGCCTCTGCTGGTGGCCTCTCCTACCCTGGGCACAGCTCTTGCCCCCGAAGCCCAGAGGACACTCGCAGCTGAATGCATCCCACTGGTTCACACAGGTGCCCCCGTTGTTGCAAGTACTGCTGTCACACACATTCTTCTTGGCAGGGCAGCCTAGAAGGGAGAGAAAGGGGCTCGGCTCGGGGCTCCAAACAGAAAACCTGCGGCTGGAGGGCCCTCTGAAACCCCCACGACATCCCCATAGCCCTCCTTTCTGCCTGGGGCTCCTGGCCTGGCCCCTACCCCGGGCTCCCATACCAGGCACGGTGCCATTGTTGGCGATGAAGTCGGCCATGTCCACATGCCGGCTGTCCACCTGCAGGTTCCTCATGCAGCCCACAAAGTGCCGCGTGCGGACAGGGAAGCTCTCGGGCAGGTCAGGGACCCCACCCAGCAGTAGGGGCCCTGTCAGATCCAGAGACCTGGCGGAGCAAAAATGGGGGCAACATGAGGCACAATGCGGGGGCTTCTGGCCCTTCCTCCTTCCCTCTTCCTTCCCCTAGGCCAGAGTGGGGAAGGGCCTAAGCAGGAGCCTGAGGAGCCCTGAAGAACAGCACAGGGAAAGGGAGGCACCCCAACCTGGAGCCACTCTCCTCTCATACCCACCCCTCCCCTAGACTGCTCCATGACACCCTACTCTAGTCCCCTCATCTTGCCGCTTCCACCCCCGACCCCAGCCCCTGCAGAAGGCTGAGCAGGGGCTAGGGGAAGCAAGGGGAGGGAGGGCCTCCATCTGGATTGGTTTCCATTTCCGGGCCCCCTAAGGCCCACCTTCTCAACTGCCCTCCCTACCTGGCCCCACACCACACCCCATGCCCCAGCCCTCTCCCCCGCTCACTTTTTGCTGCCACCCTGGGTGCCCTGGGCAGCGCAGGAGTAGTTGCCCAGGACAGCTCCGAAGCGCAGGGCCACCCCTGTGTCACAGCCATCCACGGTCACCACAGCCACCTTCTGTTCCGATGGGCCCTGCGGGAGCCCCGTCTGACCTAACAGTGGCTGTGGGCAGAGAAGGCAGAGAAGGGGAACCGTGAACATGGAGCCCATGAAGTTCTCGGGTCAGGCACAGAGACACCAGCACCTGCGGACACCCCTTTGTACACATGCGCGTGGATATACACACATGTGCACATTCAGTGTGCTCACGGGACATACGTGCTTAACTGCCTTCCTCGACATTCACCGGAGTCCGTGCCTGTCTAACAGGACACTGAGCATCGAGCACTACTCGGCGATGGCAGGGGAATAGCCCAGCCCACCCCCCCTCCCCCCTTTAGGCCAGAAGTGCCATGACCAGCCCCCCCCCATGGATGAAGCACCACCTCGGTCTGAGCACCTGAGCCAAGGACAGAACCCTCCGACTCCCTGACCCCCTCTGATACCCACCTTATTGTAGTACTTCAGCTGCACCGTGTGCCACTGTCCGTCACTGACCCCTCCGGGCACGAACGGGGACACGGTGGTGGTCGACTCCCCTGGGGAAAGGACCCAGGTGAGCTGGGACACCCAGTGAGGGCTGGGAACGGGGAGGGTGTGCTCATAGTTGGAACTGGGCCCAGGTTTGGCTGGGGGGGGGTGTGTGTGTGACTTGGGGTTGGGGGCCAAGACACCTAGGGCCTTTGGGAGATGGGCAAGGACATGGGGCAAGCGGGATCACCTGCAGAGAAGGTGAGCTGGACCTGCTCCTGGATCACCTCGAGGGCCACAAAGTCATGCTTCTCGTTGAAGCGCCCGTTGTATAACAGCAGTCCGTCCCGCTCCTTGGTGGCAAACCTGAGCAGAAGTTGGGGGTGGGGGGCAGGGAATGGGGCACCCACTTAACCCCGACCACCCCAGCCACCTAACTAGCCCCTGATCCTACTCAGGACCCTCCCGAGAGCTGACACCGTGGCCCTTGGCTCCGTGGGCCATGGAGCTCAAGTGTGGACGATGAGCCCACACCAGAACTGAAACCAGAACCCTGACCCCTTGGCTCCCCACCCTCGAGAGTGGGTAGGAGGAGCGGTCAGTGGACCCTGGTGGGCGAGGAAGGCCTACTGGCAAAGTGCACAGGCCACTCCAAGTGCCGACCCGGCTCTGCCAACAACCTGCTCCCAGCACTTTCGCTGCCCGACCTCTCCCCCTGCCTGTAGAGGGGGAGACGCCCCAGGCTCCCAGCACCCTCCCCCCCCCCCCCCCCCAGGGCCGAGCCACTCACGAGAGGGCCAGGGTGAAGTGGAAGCGCTGACGCAGGCCACGGAACGTGAGGAAGGAGCGGGCAGGGAAGCTGCGTGTGGTCACCTGGCAGTAGGGCTTCTCGAAGTCTCCAGACGGGCAGTCGCACTTGAAGCCACCCACCAGCAAGTTGACGCAGGTGCCCCCATTCTTGCAGACACCTGGCGTGCAACGGCCTGAGCGGGCACTCACCTCACAGTGCTCCCCTGGGCAGGGGGAAAGGCAGGGTGAGTACCAAGTGCCTGAGAAGGTGGAGGGGACCTGGGATGCCTCCCCAGGGCCCAGTCATACCTCCTGCAACACTCCCAAGTTCTCCCAAGCATCCTCACCCCCATCCCATTATACTGCTGCCCTGCAAGTTCCTTGGAGCTCCCAGGCCCTTCTGTACTCCTGTTTGGGGCTCAAGCGCACAGGCCGGCCGGGGCCTCGGTCACAAGGCCTAGGTCCTAGTTAGCCTTTGGTGTCATGGCTACCGAGCAAGCTAGGGGCTGTTCTGTTCCCACAGGGGTGAATGTGCATGGAGGAAAGAGCCTGCAGGACAACGCCAGGGCTGGCGCCAAACCCCCTTCCTCCCTCCCTCCCACTGGTGCTTTTGTCCCTGTCAGGCGCCAAGATCAGTTTCCCTCTCTGGGGATGAGACCAGGCTTCCACTTGGATTGTCAGAGTTATGGCTGGGGCGGGGTCGGGGGGGGGGTGAGGTGAAGCTGGGGGACTCCCGGGAATGGGGCAGACAACTCCCACCCTGAGCCCTGGGGTCCAGACTGAGGCCCTCTGTGCACTTGGGAGATACTGACAGAATGGGGGCCCGAGCCTTGGGAGCAGACCAGGATTTCAGTGGAGGAGCTGAAAATTCCAACAACATCAGATGGGAAAATCCACCCCTTTCTCTCCCTCCCCATTCCCAGATTCTAGAGATAGGTTCTCAGCTCCTGTGCCTAGTGACTGGCTCTTGTTTCCATGGAAACTGTTGTTCGCACACTCTAAGCCCCCTCCCCATCCTCTTGGACAAAAACTCCCCTCCCATCCCCCAAGCCCTCCCCTCCCTTCCACCCCCACCCACAACAGCAGCCGAGAGGCGTCAAGTCTGGCAAGTTCTGGGCAGGAAGATGCAGCCGGGAAGGCGGTGGGATCTGCCTGCCCCTGCTGGCAGAGCCAGTGCGCATGGCTGTGGAGGAGAGACAATAAGGCCTAACCTACCGGGGAAGGAAGGGCCCACGGAGGAGAGGAGAAGGGGGTGTCCTGAGGAGAAACAGCATCTGGCAGGGGCAGGGGCAGGAGCACAAAGCAGAGGCAGTGAGCCCTCCCAGGGGGAGAGGCTGGGGAGGGGATGTGTAAAGACCCAGGTCACAGGCCAACCCGGAGGCCTGACCCTTTTTCCAGCACCTGGGCAGGGGTGGAGCTATTCTGCTCAGGGTCACACAGGTACAACGACCTTCGGAAACAACCCTACCCCGCACCCAAACCCCTCCAGTTTCTTCCATGCCTTCCCCTCCATGCCTGGGAAGAAAAGCACTACTCATAGCCCAGAAAAGTAACTCTCTCAGTGGTTGGGGGAGACCAGGTCCCAGGTCCAGCTTCCGGGCTAAGTTGGGCTGTGAGGTGAGACACAGAACAAGTCACCAGACCCCAGGGGTCTCTTAAATCACAGCCAACACCTTCCAAGGGCTAGCTCTTTACATGTATTAAGCTAATTAAATTAATCCTTACAACGCTGCTAGGCTGTAAGTAGATTCATTATCTCCATTTGAAACTACGGAGACTACTGAGCCACAGAGAGGTTCAGTAATTTGCCCAAGGTCACGCGACTGCTAGTGGCAAAGCTGGAACATAAACCCAAGCCGGCTGCTCCTAGAGCTGGTGCTGCCTGAGATGGGGGGTGGGGGTGGGGGTGCTCGGAGAAGAAGGGCTCCCCCATCCTCTCTCCCCACCAGGTCGTGGAGAAGCAAGCGAGATCTGCCGGCGGCCCAGGGTAACCTCCACCTTACTCCGGAAAGGAAGGAGGCCGCCCCGGTCCTTAGCCTGCCGGCCGCCCCGGCCCCGCCCGCCGCCCCAGCTCACCGGTGTAGCCGTCGCGACAGAGGCAGGTGTAGCCGCCCTCGCGGCTGCGGCAGCGCCCGTGGGGGCCGCAGGGCCGCGAGTAGCAGAGGTCCACCTCGGTCTCGCAGTAGTCGCCCGTGAAGCCGGGTGGGCAGCGGCAGCGCAGCCCCCCGACGGGGTGGATGGGCCGGAAGAGCACGGAGGAGGAGGCGATGAAGGGCGCCGAGGAGTCGAAGCGCAGCACCGACACGCAGCGCATGTAGTTCTCACAGGGCTCGCGCAGGCAGATGTTGTCGTCGAAGGGCAGCACGCGCTGGGCAGAGATGGCCGTGAGCAGGCTGCGGTTGAGGTACAGGCGCTCCTGCAGGTCCTCGGAGGGCAGGAAGGGTGGCCCGCCCCCGGGCCCCGGCGGCTGGCCCACGGACAGGCTCACATTGAGGATGTGGCCTCCAGGGGCGTCGGTGTCCCGCTGCACGTTGAAGACTACCACGTGGTCTGGGGGTGTGGCCAGCGTGGCCGCCACCGCCTGGATAAAGAGACCCAGTAGGGGTGACAGGAAGCGCTCCGGCGACATGTCCTCCAGGCGCAGCGTGATGCTGTGCGTAAGCATCTCATCCGTGATGATGGTGACCCGCAGTGCGCACTGGGCAGTCACACTGTGCACGCCGTCTGCAGAGAAACGACATGGGTCAGGACCTGATGTGGAGCTGGGGAGGGCAGGGGTGCCGAGCCATAGATCTAGCCCTGGGCAGGAGCACCCCGAGAAGGGAGTGGGAGCTGAGATCCAGCCCACACACCCCTGCACTGCCCAGTTGCCACAATGGACTCCCTTTTCTAATTGGCAAAAGGTGCCCAAGAAACTACACGTATGGCACCTGTAGGCAAGTCACACCTTGAGGGATCAGGCCCCATAGACACTTAGGGCGATTTGATTTTCAGAAGTTCTCTTTGCATACTTTCCCAAAACCCTCCGTTGTGAAGAATGGTACATTTTTTAATGTTTGTGCGCCTCTCCCTGCCCAAGCCATGAGTCTTGCTCCCTTATACCAGATTTGGGGCTTCCCTGCACAAGAACCCAATTTTGCCTATTTCTTACCTTTTACAGGGCCCAGAGCACCAAGAGGTACCCACAAAAATAATCATTCTTCCCCCTCGGCCTCTGTATCTCAACACTACTATAACCCTGACCCTGGCTGTGCTCCCTCCTCCCCCACCAAAGCAGAGTGTGGGGGGGGTGAACTGGGTCAGTGGGCCACCCAGTCCCCCTCCCACTGAGCCCCATAGCTGCTTGGGCGCAGGCCTGCTATCCCCATAGCAACGCCCCACACAAAGCATTCTTCCCACCCAACTCTCCAGGCTGCCGAAGATAGCCTGGGGGGGGCCTCACCCCAGGAAATCCAGCTGAGCCACCTTACCAGAGGCTGCACCACCCATTGCCCTGATGCTGTGAGGGATCTGGGGGGGGGGGGCGCGGGCAGAGATGGAAGGGCCTGGGCAGCTCTCCAATCTGAAACCCCAGAAGAGCCCCACTAGGCTGATGTCTCCTCTGGCCTTGGGCCTCCAGCTATTCATCGCCCACTTGGCTCACGCGTTATACCCGAATGCCTGCCACACCTGCAGGCCACACACTCACTTATAAACAGCTGGATGCTAACACACGCTAGTGTCTCACTCCACCCACACTCTAAGCCCAGAAATACCATACACACCTGAATGCACATATATATGGCAATGGATTTTATTTAGCTCAGAAATGAAAGCTGGAGGCCAGTGGGGAGGGGGAAATGGCTTGGCAGGGCTCTAAAGGATATTCATATTTTTATTTATTACAATATCCTACACATAGTAGGTTTCAGTAAATACTAAGATGTTGATGTCTCCCTAGTGAAGAAATGGTCTTTAAAACACAGTGGGGGTGGGGTGGGGGGCACCTGGGTGGCTTAGTCGGTTAAGCATCTGCCTTCAGCTCAGGTCATGATCCCAGGGTTCTGGGATCGAGCCCCGCATCGGGCTCCCTGCTCAGAGAGTATGCTTCTCCCTCTACCTCCCTCCCCCAACTTGTGTTCCCTCTCTCTCAAATAAATAAATAAAATCTTAAACACACACACACACACACACACACACACACACACAGCAGGGGCCCTGAGTTGGTATTGAAAAGCACCCCCTGGCAGGAACGGGTCAGGAGATGGTGTTTCTGGGGTGGGGTGGGAGAAGGAGAGGAACCTGGGCGTAGATTCTGCTTCTACACCATACCTATTTGAGGTGGCTAACTACCCCCAGGCAGCTCAGTCGAGCCTGGGAAGGCTGAAGGCAGAGACCCATCTCAGCCCCGTCCTCAGCCTACCCACCTGCCCTCCAGCCTCATCACCTGAGGCTGCCGAAGCCCACCAGCTCTCACCAGCAAGCTTGCTTGTCATTACCCACTCCTGCTCCTCCCACTCCTGTCTATAGCCACCGAATATGCCAGCCCACAGTCCTCCTACTTCTCTCACTTGCCCCAAGCTCACCTACTCCAGGAAGGCTGCCCAGATTGATGACCTCAGGCTCTATTTTCCTCCCGCTTTCAGACCACCCTGCATGGAGGTGTGGACCTGGCAGAGGGCTCTTGTGTACTTGGTGCCTCTGCCCAGTGATTCCTTGATGGGATACTCCCTCCAGGCAGAAAGTGGCCCCAGAGTCCACACAGTGCCCCTAACTGATTAGGGAGAGGAGGGGGGCAGTCAAAGCCCATGAGCAAGAGAAACCTCCCTACCACTCAGCCCTGGGAACAAGCACTCCTCCCTGTGCCTCCCCTCAGCAGTCCCAGGCCCCGCCCATGCCCCTCACCCAATGTGTCTCTGTTGCTTCCCATCTGGTCTACCATCTGTGGCCACCTGCCCCCTCCTCTGTGGTCCCCCATCCCCAGCAATCAACCTACTGCTCAATCCTTGCTCTTTGTTCCTCTCCCCTGCCTTGACCTGGGTCACCCCGCAGGTGCCAAGGCAGGGTGGGAACGGGGGTCCCAGGTCCCAGACTGTGGCAGAATCAGACTCTAAGCCTCTCTCCCCGGGCAGATGTGCCGGTGGAAGCTGTGGGCCTGGACAGGGTCTACCGCTCTGGGAGCTGACGGGACCATGCACTGGAGCTCCTGTGTGTCCCAGCAGGGTAAGAAAGAGGCAGGGAGAACTGGGGCTTCAGGAGAGCCATCCAGCCCAAGCGGGGGCAGCTTCAGCCGCAGGGAACAAGACAGGGGGAAGGCAGAGAGGCAGGAACGTGGAGACTAAACAGGGGAAAACAAAGATCCAGGAAAAGAGCCAGCAATGGAGAAAGTGGGAAAGGAGAAGAGAGCCACACAGGAGATGGGGAGAAGGGCCACGGAGAGGGGAAGAGCAGGAGGGCCCACATGGGCAGGGGCAGGGAAGAAAGAGAGACAAAGACCAAGAGAAGGGAAACAAAGGGGCAGTGGGAGTCAGTTCCCCCTCACCCCAGCCTCCCTGAACTTTGGGGTTGCCGTGGTGACTGCTTCCAAGGGTCAGGGCTGGAGGGCCGGCCCGAGGCCTTCCCTTCTATTCCTAGGGGAGCTGTGGTCAGGGGCCCTGCCCTGGTAGGAGCCTGAAGGCTGGGCAGGGCCTGCTCAGTGAGGTGCCACTCTCACCTAGGACAGGCTGTGGGGAGGACAAGAGGAAGAGCCCCTTCTTTTCCATCCCTCCCCACTGCTTGCTTCGCCCAGCACAGAGAAGGATCCAGGATCCAGGAACTCCAGCCCTTCACTTCCTCCTGGAGGGAAACTGAAGCTTCAAGAGGCACAGAACCTTGTCTCTGACCTCGAAAAGCTCACCTGCCCGGGCTCCTAGGGCCACCTGAGGAGTGGGGCAGGAGAGGCATCTGTCCGGGAAGGACCCAGAGCGGGGAGGGGGCGGAAGCCACACCCTGCATCCCACATGTCCCTCATTCCCCTCCAGGCCCAGAGTCCCTGGGGTGACAGGAAAGGGGTGCCAGACTCTTCTCTTCTTCCCTGATGTGTCTGGAGTGGGGTACCCTGGCCCATCCATCTGCAGGGTACCCCTAACAAGGGGCCCTCATGGGGGGTGCCAGTCGTGCCCAAGCTTGGGGAAGGGACTCCGCAACGTGGGGCCGGCCGCCTCCTTGCCATCCCCCCGGCTGACAGAGAAGACGGAAGGCCGCCCACCCCCGTCAACTCTCCTCCCCCAACCCTCTGTCCAGGGAGTCTGCAGGCTGAGCGCTTGGCCAAGCAGCAGGAATGCCCAGCCTGGGTCCCAGCCAGGCTCCCACGCCCCAGGACTCTGTTCTCTCCCCACCGGAGCAGGGGGCTGTACCCTCAAAGGCCACCAGTCCCCTGGCTCATCCTGGTCCCACACCCCATTCCCTGAGCCCAGACTGGTCACGGCCAGCAAAGAAGGCCTAGCATCCTAAAACAGCCCCATGGCGTGGCAAGGAGCCCCAGGAGGCCTCAGCCTGCCCCTGGCTTCACTGCAGCCCCTCCCCCAAGCTGGACCCCGAACCATGGCCTCTGACAGTGGGGTCTGTTTGGACAGAGACAATGAGCTCGGGCTTCGCTTCCTGCGGGAGCTCTGAAGGGGTAGCCAGGCCAGGCTCTTTCTGCCTGGAGGGAAAAGAATGCACTAGACAAAGTCCCCCTCAGCCAGTCTGGGGCTCAGCCGGGAGCCAGAAGGGGCCAGAAGAGGCCCGACTGCAGGGTCCTGACCCCTCGGCGGCAACCCTGTGCCCCATGGCCCTCTGCTCTGTCAGAAGGCTGTTATGAGATCACAGGAATAGCCTGCCGGGCATGAAGGGGTGCTGAGGGGACCGGCTCGCCTCCCCCGCAACCCCCCCCACGCCCCCCCACAGTCCTCTCTACCCCTCCCCCAGCTCTCCTGGACACCCCCAGTCTTCCACGCGCCTTTTTTCACAATCTTGGCAGCCATAGCCAGGGCCTCCCCGCAGCACTTCCCCCGCCACGTCACAGGGTGGTAGGCAGGGGGCAGCCAACCAAAGCAGCCCAGCCCAGCCCGGGACCGCAGGCGGGGCCTCCACCAGCCGCCAGGACTCCTAGGGCTCCTTCCCAAGCTCCTTCTCGCCCCTCAACCTCTGTGCCAGGCACTGGGCAGAGAGGCGGGTCAGCGGTTCCTCCTTGGACAGCTGCCCGGGCCCTCCCCCCAAGGGCCACCCCTGCCTGACGCCACCTGGGCCCTTGCTTACCTGACACCAGCACGCTCATCATGGCCTCCAGAGGACGGTTGTTGTCCAATGCCCGGCTCAGCCTCAGTTCGCCTGTCGAGGCGTTGAGCAGGACCAGGCTGAGTTCATTCCCCCGCTCAAAGCTGTAGGTCAGGCTGTCTGAGATGTCAGGGTCATGGGCAGGCACGCGGCCAATGGCACCCCCAGGGAAACTGCTTGAGCGGTTGGTGACATAGTTGTTGAAAAGGATCTCAAAGTTGCCCAGCACTGGTGGGTTGTCGTTGCGGTCAAGCAGGCGGACGTGGACTGTAGCCCGGCTCACCAGGGGGGCCGACGTGGCCTGGATGACCAGGATGTATTCGGGCCGGTCCTCGTAGTCCAAGTCCACCAGAGCAGTCAACTCCCCAGAGAAGATGTCCAGTTGGAAGACCTCAGGGATGTTGCCCTCCACAATCTGGTACATGATCTGGGCATTGGTGCCTTCGTCGGGGTCAGTGGCTGTGACGCGGGCCACAGCCAGCCCAATGGGGCTGTTCTCTTCCACAAACACGTCAAACTCGTCCTGCTCAAAGACAGGTGGATTGTCGTTCACATCCAACACGGTGACCGTCACTTCCATGGGCGTGCGGGCTGGAGGCATTCCCTTGTCCACCGCATAAGCCCGCAAAACGTACTGGGCCACGTTCTCACGATCTAGCCTCCGAAGCGTTCTCACAATGCCTGATGTGGACTCTACGATAAAGTCACCATCTCCATCGTCGCCCCCTTGGAAGGTGTAGAAGACCCTGCCATTAAGGCCAGAGTCACGGTCAGTGGCTGAGATCTGCAGGACACTGGTGAAGGGGGGCACATCCTCATACACACTGCCCTGATAGGAGTCACGCAGAAACTGAGGGGCATTGTCATTCACATCATTCACCAGGATCTCCAGGTAGGTTGTGTCAGACTTCTGGGGAATGCCATTGTCGCGGGCGGTGATGGCCAGGGTGTAGGACACTTGGTCCTCATAGTCTAGCTCAGCCTGGGTGGTGACAGCCCCTGTGTCTGCATCAATGCGGAACTGGGGGATGCTGTCCTCCATAAAGTAGGTGATGCGGGCGTTCTCGCCTGTGTCCTCGTCCGTGGCACTGATCAGCACCACCGTGGTGCCTGCCGGTCGGTCCTCGTTAACATTTACCGTATAGTGGGAGCTCTGAAAGACGGGACGATGAGTGTTGGCATCAGTGACGTTCACTACCACCTGTGCCGTGTCCTGCCGCGTGCCATCGGAGGCAGTGACCGCCAGCACATACTGCCGCTCAAGTTTGTAGTCCAACGGCAGGGCGAGCGACACCAACCCACCACCACTCTGGCTGGTGATGGAAAAGCGGTTGCGGGTGTTGCCGCTGGTGATCTGGTAGGTGATGACACTGTGGGCGTCGCGGTCCACAGCCGACACTGTCACCACGCTGGTGCCCACGGCCGCATCCTCGTTGAGTCTCACTGTGTACTCTGGTTGGGTAAAGGTGGGGTTGTTGTCGTTGACATCCAGGATGGTCACGCTGACACTGGCTGAAGCAGTGAGCACTGGGGTGCCGTGGTCTCGGGCTTCCACCCCAAAGCTATAGAAATCAACCTCTTCCCGGTCCAGCTCAGCTGCCACAGAGATCCAGCCTGTGCCATTGTTGATGGCAAAGGGGAAGTCATGCCCAACTCCAGCAAGGCGGTATTCCAGGCGGGCATTGTCACCAGCATCGGCGTCGATGGCCTGGACGTGGAGAACCAGGTAGCCTAAGGGGACACTCTCCAGCACAGTAGCCTGGAAGGGGGTGCTGACAAAGATGGGGGCATTGTCATTGATATCCAGGACCTGTACTGTCACCAGGCCAGAGACGTTGGAGAGCGGGGGGCGGCCGCCATCCTGTGCCCGGACCCGTAGGGTATACTCCTTGGTCGTCTCATAGTCAAGAGGGCTCACCACGTCCAGAGCCCCAGTCTGGGCATCCAGGTAAAACTGTCCCCGAGCATTACCACTCATGATGCTATAGTGCACCAGGGCGTTACTGCCCTTGTCTCTATCTGAGGCTGTGACCCGGAGTACCGGGGCCCCCGGGGTCACATCCTCGCGCACCTGGACCACGTAGCGCTTCTCACTGAACTGAGGAGCATTGTCATTGTCATCCTCCACAGACAGGAACACAGCGGCTGTGGCGCTCCGTGGACCAGGGTCCCGACCCTGGTCACTTGCCTCCACTGTCAACTGGTAGGATTCTACTTCTTCCCTATCCACAGGGCCACGCGTTCGGATCACCCCAGAGCGAGGGTCAATCTCAAAGACTTCTGAGGGGCTGCCCCCAGGCCCCTCCAATAGGCGGTACAGAATATTGGCATTGGGAGGGGCATCACCATCTGTGGCTCTGACAGTGAGCACCTCATAGCCAACCTCCAGGTTCTCCCTGAGGCTCTCCTTGTACTCCTGTTGCTCGAAAACAGGGTCGTGATCATTGGTGTCAGTCACCAAGATGGTGAGTGTGGCCAGGGCACTGCGTCGGGGCATGCCATGATCCTGTGCCGTGACCCTGAAGACATGGGTGCTCTTGGTCTCACGATCCAGCTCCTCAGCTGTGGTTACAGCACCCGTGATTGGGTCCAGAGAGAAGAAATGTTTGGAGCGGCTATCAAAGAGGGCATCCATGGTGTACTCAAGCCGGCCGGCCTCACCCTCATCTGGGTCAATGGCCCGCAGGGATGCCACAGGGGTACCTGCTGGCTGGTTCTCAGGCACTGTGGCCTGGTAGCTGGGGGGCTGGAACTGGGGGGCTGTATTCACATTCCTTTTCCGACGCCCGCCCATGGACTCTTCTGTTGACCGTTCCCCTGCCCTGAGCCCTGGGGTCTGCACCAGCTGGCAGGACTGGCATCTCAGCCGGGGAGCCTTCAAGCACGGGTGTTCCTGGGGCAGGGTGAGCTTGCCCTGTGGGGAGAGGTGGCCTCCAATGCCCAGGAGGCGACAGCTCCATGGGCAGCCTTCGGGGGCTGGCGGCAGAGGGATGTGGGCTCCGGATTCTGGACACCAGACCCTCAGACCGTCGTGGTGGGGCACCAGGTGGCCAGTCAGCTCTGTCCCTGCATCCCTGCAGCGGCTGCTGTAGAGCCAGAGGTTGGAGGCTGAAGCTGGACAGAGCCAGCCCGCGGGGGCGCAGGGCCCTGAGGAACCACGTCCCCCGGGCCCCAGGGAACGACAGGGCCCCACTTGGTCTCCCAGCAGTGGCGGCAGCAGCAGCAGCAGCAACAGCGGCGGCGGTGGCGCTGGAAGAGGGGCGCGGGCTGCCCGGCTCTGCATCTCTCCCTGCTCCCGGCCGGCCGGGTCAACGGCGGCGGCGGCTCCTCCTCCGGCTCCCGCCGGCCCCGCCGCGCCTCATGCCCGTGCCGGGGCGCCGGTCCCCGGGGGCCACTCGTGCGCCCCTCGGGGCCTGCGCCTTGCTGCCTCGGCGGGGCCCGGCGCTGAGCCCTCCGACGCACCCGGGCTCGCACTGCTCCCCGATTCCGGCCCGCGCCCGGGTCACCCCGACCACCGCGGGCTGGCGCTGCGCCTCCACTTGCGCGCCCGGCTCTCGCCACCTGCGCCCGCGGGCCCCGCGCGCCCCTGGCCCTGCCGACTCCCCGAGCCCCGAGGTGCCCCCTTCGCCCCCGCGGGATGGCCCACCTGCGCCCGCAGAGCTACGCACCCGGACCCCGGCCGTCGTCGACGGCCCCGCGCCGGCCGCTTGGCGCCCCGCGTCCCCGCCGCGGCGGCTGCTGCTGTCGCCGCGGCCGAGGGCCCAGCCCCACGATCCCTCGCCTCCCCGGCGGGCGGGCGAGCTCTGCAGAGCGGCGGCGGCGGCGGCGGCTCATTACCATAGACCTGCTCGCGCCGCCGCCGCCTTAAAGCGGCGACGCCAGCCGCACCGAAGGAGGTGGGCCCCACCCAGCGCCCTCCTCCGCACCGCCGTTCTAGGATTCCCGCCAGCCAGACCTCCATGCCTAATCCCTCCCCAGGCCTACCACTGGGCCGGTGATAGATCCCTACCACAGGTTCGAGAGGAATTAACAGTCAGAAGCCAGATAACGAATGATAATAATGGGGGTAGTATCCTAAGTATACTTAGAGGTTTTCAAAAACAGTTGGAAGGAATCTTGGAGGCCAAGGGCCCACCTCACACCGCCTACGCCTACGATGGTTGGCTGCTGATAAGAGCCCTCGGGTCCGGGGTAAGACTGAGCTAAAAGAGCCCTGCTCAACAGTATAAAGCCTCCCCCATATTCCAGAGAGGTATCCCACCTCCCTGGCAACACCCAGTGAGGTCCTAAGGCCCCCATCCCCACCCCTAAACCAGGTCATGGTCTAACTACGCCCCCCCCCCCCCCGTTGGGATCCAGGTGCTGGGCAGAATGACCCCAGGCTCATCTGGGACACGACCTGGACTTTCAGGAGCAGGTAAGTTGGGAGTGTCAAAGCCAGAGCTAGCTGCTGAAACCTGTACAGGGTCACAAGGCGGGTGAGGGATGGAGCCAAGCTTTAGGACCCAGGTTTCCTGGATCCTAGACGGGGGGGGGGGGGGGGGGGGGGGATTTCACTGCCCCTAGGGCCTCCTGGCTGGAAAGATGACTTCTTGCCCCCTCCCTCCTTCCCTATCAGTGTCCAGCTGCTGTTCCTCGGCTTCTACTCACAGCTTTGTGATGAGCAAACAGTCCTGCCCAGTGCGGGGTATAGGCCTGCAGACTGAACCTTCCACTTGAAGGGGGTGTGCAGGATTCCAGGAGTCCTGGGAGTGGCCCAGGCATGGAGACTGGACCATGAAGAAGAGGAAGGCAGTGTTGGTGGAGGGTGCTCCTGAAGGAGTTGCCCTCTTTCATACCCCATCCAGGGACTCGTATCCAGGAACAACAGGGCCAACTGGATGCAGTGCTAGGGGCCTGGTCAGGCAGGATGAGGCAAGGCCTGGCCTGGGGAGGAGGCTGGGGCTTTAGTCTCAGCTCCCCACCTCGCCCTCTGGTTGTGTGATCTTGGTCAAATTCCGGTACCTCAGTTTCCCGTTTGGAAAATGTGGGGATTGAATAAGGTACATGGTTTCCAAAAGTCAATGTAGCAGGAGAATCTGTTTTTCGAATGAAATTTGAAGTAGAAAGCTGAAACAAAACACAGATAACAGTAGTGTTCCTGGGAAGAAGTGGAGGTCAGGGCCCTGCCCTGTCCCCACAACTTCACCAACCAGTACATCCCTGGGCCACCTTGTGAGGCTTATGCTCTGGAGGAACCCCATTTGAAAAGCACTGAAGCAGAGGCTCCCTCCAACACTGCGTTCTGGTCACAGTGAAGGAGCTGTGAATCCCGTCTCAGGGACCCCGGGCCCAGGGTCACAGTGTGACCACGCAGTGATACCTAGGATGAGATATCAGCTTTTCACTTTTTTCCCCAGGGGAAAGCAAAGGAGATGGGCCTTGGGGACAGCAAGAGGGATTAGGGTTAGCCTGCATTTCTGGCAATGGTGGTGGAAAGGATGGGGAGAAGCAAGTGAGAGGAGGACCCATGGCTCAGGAGAATGCTCTTGCCTTTATTAAAGATGAGCTTGCTTCCTCTGGGCAAGGCCAAGGGCAGCTCCAGAAGCAGAGGAGTGGCTTAAGCAGCCTCTGCAGGGCTCTGCCTCTGTGGACTTGCTTCGACTCTGGTTTGGGAGGATCTAGGGGCTGCGTGGGCATTTTGCTCTTCACCTAATAGCCATGTGGTGCGGAGAATGCTCGGAAATTATACCATCTGTTAATTATCCTTTGAATCAGGGTTGGGTAATGAGACTCTCATTTCTGCGGAAGGCCTAAGCCAGCACATGGGGAAACTGCAGATCTCCATTCATCTCTCTCCCTTTGTACCAAAATAAGCTTTCTGGGTGGGAGAGAGCCACAGTCTTGGCTCTGGATCATGTGTGGATCATGGTTCTGGAGCTTAGCGCTGAGGCAGGGGTTGCCATGGAAGGCGCAGGAACAGGAAGCCCCCCTTCTCGGTCCCCAGTGGCCTTTCTACCCAAGGGCAGACAAGTTGGGGATGCAAGGAACCCCCTCTTTTCATCTCCAAACATATTTGGCAAATAGTCCTTCCTCTTCTCCCTGCCCTGACCCCAGGGGCACAGGACAGAGCTGCCTGTCCATGCACTGCCCCCTCCTCAGCTGCTTCCACCTCCTAAAAGCTGGAAGGAAACTTCCAAGTCTTCTGTGCACCACAGTGTCTCAGTCTAGGGCTTGCCCTGGTGGTGTCCTTCTTGACCCCTAGAAGGGCCACCTACTTCCTGGAACTTTCCAGCTGTAAGGAACCTTCAGACCTCCCTCCTACGTGGGAGAAAATCAGGGTGCAGCAAGATCCTGGAGTCTGTTCAAAGGGAATTTACTGCTCTTCTAGGCCAAACCTCCTGCTTTACCATGGGGGCTGGGAAGGCAAAGTGACCTGCTGGGATAGCCCCAGGCTCTCCCCCAGCTCTACTGGGGCTTCCTCACCCAGGCTGCTTCCTGAGGGCCCCCCAGGCAGATGGAGAATATATTTTTGCATAAGGCCTGGCCCTGGCTCTCAGCTGAACAGGGTAGCATGGGTAAAGTGATCCAGGAGCAACTGAGACAGAAGAGGTTAAAGGAATTCAGAGGAGAGGGCAGTGAGAGTGGAGGAAATCCTCCAGGTCTTCCTGGAAGAGGTGGGACTTGGGTTGCATCTTGAATCAGAAACAGCATTCCTGGCAAGAGGAATTCATAAACACATTCATTTAACCTGCAGGGTAAGGGTCTTCCCCAAGGTTACGCAGCTCAGAAATGGCAGACCTGGGATTTGAACCCAGGCAATCTGGCTCCAGAGTCTCTGCTCTTAATGAATGAATGTGATGTGTCACCTTGGCTGAAGCCAAGATCAGGGTGGGTGTGTTGTGGCCCAGCACAGCGGAGGGGCAGACAAGGCCACAGTTGGGAAGAATCAGGTGACCCTTGTCATGGGCTTGTGGGCTGAAATTCTAGGACCAATGGCCTGCTTGAACAGGGCATGGTTGGAGGCTGTGGAAGGGAAGGGTCCCTGTGACCTTTGCTGGGCAGGCAGGGGGGTTTCTCTGGCTGGAGAGAGGGGTGGGGAGATCCTGATTCCCCTGGGGCCTGATCCTGTTTCTGGGCTCAGTGCTGCTTTATAAAGGGCCCAGAAATGGGAGGCAAGAGGTTGTCCCTGTGGAGCTTCAGACGCTGCCATTCTGGGACTATAGGGTGGGGTCGGAAGGAAGAGACTGTGAGCCAAAAGTTGGGGCAGGCCAAGACCTGAGTGTCTTCTGTCCACGCTTGCCTCGTGTGCCCAGTCTGCTTCCCTGCACTTTTCTCCACAGCTGTGCTCTCCTGAGTGTGGACACTGTCCTTTCCGGACCCCCCACTCTGTGCCTGGCACTGAGGGGCACTCGGTCAGAGTTTTGAGGATACTTGGATTCTTCCTGTGGTTGCTTCCCCTCCAAACCGGTCTCCACGCAGCAGCCCAAGTCATTGTTTTTAAATCAATGAACATTTTTTAGACTTAAAAAATCTCTCCCCATTTTTTTATTTTGGAAAATGGCAAGGATTCAGAAAAATTGCCAGAATGGTACAATGCATCCCCAGATACCCTCCACCCAGATTCACTAATTGTTGACACTATGTTTTCTTCTCACAATTTTTAGAGAACGAAGTGAAAGTGAGGTGCAAACATCATGGCGTGCAGCGTGCAGCTCCTGGTGTCAGAGCCCTCTCCCACACCCCCCACACGATGGGTGCCGCACCCTGGACACAAATGGTGATTCCTGGTATCATCGAATATCCGGTCTAATCCAAATTCCTTGCTGTCTCTCGGACATCTTTGATAGCTGCTTCTTTCAAACCAGAGGTTTATGCATTACCTTTGGTCATATGTCATTTTACTTTCCCTCCCTCCCTCCCTTCCTTCCTTCCTTCCTTCCTTGTGATAGTGACTGTTTAAGGAGTCCAGGCCAGTTTTCTTTTCTTCTTCTTTCTTTAGATTTTATTTATTTATTTAGAGAGAGATTGAGATCGTGTGAGCGAGCATGGGGGTAGGGGCAGAGGGAGAGGGAGAAGCAGACTCCCCTCTGAGCAGGGATCCCCAAACGGGGCTCGATCCCAGAACCCTGGGATCATGACCTGAGCCAAAGGCAGAACTGACTGAGCTACCCGGGCGCCCCTAGGACAGTTTACTTATTGGATGTGCCATATGCTGGATTTATCTGATGGAAAGACCCCTCATGGTGTCTTTCACAGAGTAATACTACAAAGTCTGAATCTGAGCATGTTGCTCCCTTCCTG